CAGGCTAAAATAAATGTACTGGGGCACAAATTTTGCTTAATACGTAGAGGGGACAGGACCTAATCAACTAAACAACCTCCTCATAGCGTGATTTATGCTACACACCTGGACACGTCAATAGAATCGAAGAAAATATGCGTCGATAAACATATAAACCCCATAAATTGTCTATTCGTTAAACATTATCATCCATAAGACATTGTTCAAGAGACTTTGCATTTCTTTCTTGTTTTTAATTTTTGAGCATTTCTTGGCAACTTCCTTCTTTTTGCAAAGCAAACTGTGTGGGAAACGAAGCAGTGCCGACACCCTCAAAATAATTTGCAAAGTACGATTCCATACCCCACAGATAAAAACGATTTGTCATTGGCATGTGCTTCGTAAACAATTTAACTTATTTCTTTCGTTGCTTTACAAAGGGGATTTATCAGTTTCCAATAAACGTTCAAACAGACTGTGGAGTTATAAAACACTGCTTTCAAATCTTGATTGAGTAAATAGAAATCCGAAAGCTAGCATTGTAAACTATCTAGAGACTATCTCAGGTATTTCTACCGCAATTATGATTTAGATGCTCGTTTGAAAACAAAAATGGTCGCATCTGATCAAGTTTACAAATTGTTCTGAAAATAACGTCATTTCTAGCTTTTGTTTTTATGCTTTACTTACTCCAACTGCTTCACATCAGCTAAAAAATGTCCACACATTCTAACATTTGTGATTCTTAACTTTTATGCTTGTTTCTCGATGAACTGACTGGGTTCAGAAATTGTAAATGCAGAACAGAATTAGGATGAAATAATTCAATGCTTTCAGACCCCCTCGAACACTTGACATAAACAAATATAGCTCGTGAAATTTATTGAGTAAAGCTGATCTTTTTATCTTCTGTACTAAAAACCGATTATCTCATTTGAAAGCGGATGGAAAGCAAACAAATAAGCTCATCGTCTTCATATTATCAAGAAATTCGTACGTATGTGTGTGTTCCATGCATAGATCAGGCTGCAGGCAAATGCCGTTCGTTCATCTTAGACTAAAACAGAAAACGTTCATCTAGTACATTTGATTGGAAATTTAGAAAAAAGTTTGTTTATTCTGAAAATTCAAAATCAATGTTGCAGAAATTGCATATTCACATATTTCCGAACTGTCTAAAAATTTTTTATAGGGACAAAAAATCTAGCAAAAGTTGAAATGCACTTAATGGTGCTATCAAATCCGTTTTGAAATCTTGAAGGTCAGAAATAACAAATTGGAATCTTTGCGTAAAGACAACCGACAATAAAAGGAACCTGCTCGTACTTATACATCTGGACATCGTTTGACTCACGATAATTTCAAACTCCATTTTGATTAACAGTTGGAATCACAAGGCAGCTTCTGTAACATGAATTTACATAATTTATCGTAACATAACATAAACTTTCTGTAACATAAACAATTCTGCATGAATTTATCGTGTTACTTCAATAAACTTAATTATATTGTACTGATCGTCCAGAAATCTTAGTTTCGTCTTTGTTTCTTCAATATATTTAATAACGCTGAACTGATAGTATCGGTTGTAGACTAAAAAAGCCATTATATGTTTTCATTTCAGTTGCTGCAAGGATCATATAGGTGAAAGAAAGATCAAAAGAATAAATTATATTGTTTTTCTGATCCCCGAAGTATTTTGGTGTATTTCAGCAGAAAAATGAGTAAATTTTGACTGATCAAATGAGACTTTGGTGCCATGACCTATGCAAACAGATACAGGACCTGCATTCATCGGCATTTATTTACATTTCGTCCTCATTATGAATGCCAAATATTTCTGGTTCAGTGATGCCGATACCGTTCTGTGTGTGCCTAAGAGCCACTGGTATTGCTCTTATTGTTCGCATCATGATTTACTTCTCCATAAAATCTGTTTGTCCTAAAACAAGTCGCCGATGGGTGAACGTGTTTCAGGCAATATTTGATTATGTTTAAGGCAATCATAAAGATCTGGAGACGATCTGTTCTTGGATTGAACACTTTTTATATAATCATTGCAATCATGGTATTTTGTTTTGCAACTGTGTTGGACAAAATTGAATTGATCTATGAGGCGAGTAGGCCTATGCTTACTATAAAAACATGGTCAACGCAGACAGGCGATAGAAAAGCGCTACCATTTCAAGCGTTCTTTCCAAAGATAAGGAGAATGTTCCTGTGGGCGTATATAAGAAAATAGAATTCGAGGCGACAGACTGTGCTTTCATAGATTTAAGGAACGATAAGTAAGGATCGTGCCCAGGTCTTGTAATTCAATTTCTTTACCGTAATTAGTGCGTCTACAGCATTTCTCTTTGGAATGTAAATCTAAATTGTTTCAATTTAGATAAGGTACGAATAAAAAGTGCGAAATCTAATAACATATTTTGAACAGAAGAACCAATACCCTTTCAAAAACAAGCGAAAAAGTGATCTATTTTGCAGCATCTTAGAACTATATAATGCCGCTTGAACAGCATTCTCAAGCCTAAAAATAAGTTCCTGTTTCCCAGATTTTCTTTGGAACAGAAGGGGCATGAACTCTCTGCGTCTCATTCACATTTTGAATAACCTATCAAATTTAACAATGCAGTAACAGTGAAGCTTTTGCATCGTTTCTCGACTTCTAATCACCGTGCAATTTACAATACTCAATTGATGATGCAATTTTCTTCTGATTACATTTGCTGTTGCTTGTGAATCAGTGCTGACATAAATTAGGCCAGCAAACGCCACATTTTTACGGCTATTGTCAGCGATTTCCAGGAATGTTTAGTTCCTCCTTTATCAGCAGCTGAACTATCTATTTCTGCTTGTCTGCTATACTCTGCAATTCCTTGAAAGGCCAATTTTAAGGTGAAAGTTGGTTAGAGGAACAAAGCCAGCATACTCTGCCGAAAAGACTCTCGATATATTTTGCAGGTTTGCAAGAACCTATTTCCAGACCCAATGCTTTTAGTTCAAGAGTGTAACTAAATGTCCACTACTAAGCATTCCGTCTGTCAACTTTGTGACATATGAAATACGGACCAGTTAAATAGTCGTCTTTTATTGGTTGTCACAAACTGGCTTCGCTACAATATTCTCAGAATCTAAGCCGCCTTTTATCCGCCCCTGGGAATCAAATGTTAAAGTGTTTAAGTGTTTCAGACAAAGGGAAGCAATTTGGGAATAGCCAGTCTTGTTAGATACAGCTTGTTTTTAAGTTAGCCGAAGTAAACAAAATTGTTCTAGTCATTAGCGGCGCATAAGCACAAGATTGGATAGCGACCTCCCTGTTCGAAGCTCAAGCCGAACAAACCCTGGAGATCTGAGCTCCTGTTGCTGTTGCTGCTGGGCTCTGTCACGCAAGGGGCAGCTCACTCTTACAAACAGCTGATGGGAATATCTCCAACACCAAAGTATTCCCAGGGATTTTCAGATAAAACAGTATTTCACCAAAGGTGTACCAGGTTTTAGATAAAACAGTATTTCACCAAAGGTGTACCAGGTTTTATTGGAGTGATTTGCCCCCCATTTTCACTGGCGCTCCAAGTAAAATGTATCTTTACAACGGAATTGAAGAGTACAGCAATGTACTATATTTTTTCTCGCAGAAGTAGCATGTATAGAAAAAGCCCCTCTGTTGGTCTCATAGTGCTGTTAATTCTATAGTCAGAAAGTGCAGCTTAGCCTATAAAATCAAGATACTGTCAATAAGATCAAGGAGATTACAAAACAGGCAATATTGATAAGTTTCATGTAGAAAGACTATAATACTGATTGCCTGTCCTTCTTTTCATGTATCTGGTAGAGAGGAGTAGCAAAGCTTGTGTCTTTTTTAATCGTTAGCACAAAAAGCAAATTGTCTCCTTGATTACCTAAGAATTTCAGTAAAGAATTTTGTTCTGGCATTTTGAGATGAATTCCAAGTATGAAGGAAGCATTGTCAAAGGATCTCCAAAGAGATACAAGTATTGATGAAAAGCGAGTTTAGAACAAATGGCGCGAAGATTCCGTTGGGCCCCTTGAGTCTCGTTACTTAACAAAGAGCGATAAAGACTCATTAAGAGATAAAATGTTTGATAGAAAAAGATCAAAACAAATCAACGTCGAGGTAACTTACTCGATCACAAAGATCGCGCCTTCAAGCACACGGTATAGAAAAACGACAGAATTAGCTACTAGTTAAAACAATATTTATACGTTCTTCATTCGTTCTGGTCTCTAACTTTCAAGGAATTAGCAGTGAGGCTACTTACAATAATGTATTGTGCAACGCTTTTCATATTGATGAATTAATAAATAATCCGTTATATAAAATAATATTTTTTAACATCCTTGCCTTTAATTTCATTGAAATCACTCCTCTTAAAATTAATCAATGGATTTCTGTTAGCTTTTCTGTTTTCCTACCCCTCCGTGCAAATATTAACTATCCTGAATTCCCGATACTATTCCTAGAAGGAAATAAATATAGAATAAATAAATATATGAATATGGATGGAAAATACAATAAATAAATTTAGATGACGTTTTAAACTGGCTCCCTTATTTCGGCATGTTCCCCACCATATTAAAGATCCACATCTTATTTGCACATGTCTTTTCCTTTAACACATTTGACGATAACTCTTTGTTAAAAATAAAGAACAGAGTTTATGCAATACTGATTACGTAACCGACTCTTTCTAATTTTCAGCACCTAGCACAATCAAGCCACGCATTGTTCTCATACCAAAAGCACTGTGTGAATCATGATAATTTGCATTTGTCTTTGTGGTTCTATGCCCATAAATTATTTGCAACCTTCCTCCTACGTGATTCTTCTGCATTCAATAAATAAAAAAAAACTTCACGGCTACAAGCAACTTTGAGGTTGATGCCTTAAGTGGTCCTTTGCAGTGATAAATTAGTCTTCGTTAGCGAGGATCTTACTAAAAAAACTAATTTCGGCATTAGTTCTTTGTTTTATTTTGTTTCTTTTATCTGTCTCACAGCCACCTTCAAAGCTCTTCATTGCATTGTTGTGAATAAAGCCATTCATTGTGTCGACAAAGAAGGAAGGATATTGAAAGCGAGGGCGATTTGCTATATAAAGCCTGCAGAAAGATTGGATCTGTTATTGGGTTGAGTACGCGATACAAGCTGGTTGTGTATAACATAAGAATCAAACAGGAGGATAAAGTCGCCGTATTTGGTATAGCATTTAGCATTTCAAAATGACGTCCTACGCTTATTATCTGCTATGCCTTGTTTTCGTCATTTCAAGCAATCGACCTGCTTCTTCTATGGTGAGTTTTTCAAAGTTTATTTTCACAAATTTTTTTCGAAAGACTTGATGAAATATGAATTATCCAGTCATTAATCTTTTGTAAAGTAAAGTGTGCGCTTTCCACCATTCTCTGAAATTCAAAATATTAAATTCTTTGTTGCCCTACTAAAATAAGATTTTCATTAATAACTTTTTGCTATTACGCAAATCTTTTCGTTTGGCAAGTATAAAGAGGATCGTAACCTGTTTTTCTAAAATCAATCAATCTTTCAATGTACTTATAATTATTACAAGAATTTGAATTTTTATGAAAAATCGTCATTATTCGCGTGAATTCCCCAAAATCGATCGTTTCTTCGAAGTCAATATATCTCCATTAAATGAAAAGAAAACACAACTTTCTAACGTCAGAGGATTTATTTGTTTTTCGTGGTCCTGTACACGATATCTTTTCGATGTGAATGTGGGCGTACTCATTTCATCTGTATGTCACTATCATTTATATAACGTGTCCTTTAACCTGAAGGCAAACACCTTTACTTGAGATTGAGACGCACTTTTGAACCGTCCTTGTTATCAATTAATCTTCTAGCAAGAAAAATTTGCATTTTCCGTGCTTTGCAGTATCGTTCAAAGAAAACTCGTTTTTTGGTTTGGTTTTCCTTCGGTTTCTTAAACAGTGAAATCATTTATAAGAAAATAGACATATTTTTATCAAGGAGCATCGCAAGGGGCATGAATATCCTTCATGAAATTTGTCGTATTTCTCTCTGAGAAGTTTAAAAGGAAAGGCTTATGAAAATAATTTTCTCTTTATTTTCGTATAGAACACGCTGCCAGAAACCACTTACAAATAAAACTTGTTTCAAAAGAATGCCTATATTAAAGCAAATATTTAAAATATTAGAAGTAGAAGAGTTTCGAAAGTCCTGCTTTATTAGAAAAACAGAATTGGTGTTTGCTTCGCTCACCCTTGGTAAAAGACGGAAAGGTTTTCTGATTCAACAGTTTTGAGGATCTGATCGCTGCACAAAAAACCAAGCGATATCTTTTAGAGTTTCAGTCAAATATTTTGAAATTCACAAACAATTTCCACATTCCGGTCATTTTACCTCAATGCTCAAAATAAAAGTTCTTAACAATAACTTAATTAGGAAAGAAAATAATACATAATAACGGTTTATTTCTAACTCCAGAGCTTTTCTTTCCATCATTATTTTTGCCTGTTCTTTCTTTTCGTCTTCCTCTCTTTTCGATATCCCTTGAATAGAATTTCTTGTTTTCGTGCCACCATCTAGTTCTCTCAAGGTCTTCAAGGGAAAAATGAAAGTGTCTTTCGCCTGTATTAATCAATATTTATCATCGATTTTAATTTCTCAAATAATTACAGTGTGTTTCTGCCCCTACTTTTTAACCTATTTTTGGTATCCAACCTATTAGCGATTTTGTTCGCTTATTCGTTTCACGAGCACATTCTCCTGATAGCTGGCGCCTCTACCCCACCCGGGTCTCTGTTGCCAAGCAGCAACTATGCTATGCCATCACTTCGATAACGTGTACGTTGTGGAATGCACGCACCCAGTGGCATGTCATTCTCTTGATGACGTCATTTTTCGCTGGACTCATCAAATATTTGGGAAGTCGAGTCATGGTGCAAGGGAAAAATGCCAGTAGGCGCGTTTCTGTACTTCTCAGTTTAAATATTTGATTGATTTATCTTTCAAATTTTTCGAGACACCCAATTCCATCTGCAAATAACTTCAGACCGACCACGTTAAATCGGCCACATTGAATTATCGATTACAACAAACATTACACAAAGTTAGCTTTTCTTATAAGAAGCGTCGGTGGGTCCATTATTTTTGCCTGCAATCATACACTGCTAAGAATACCTTTCCTGGATCTTCTCACGAACCTAAATCTATCTTTGCGCGGAAAACGAACAGAAATTCGAGCTTCGTTGCTTCATTTTGCCTGCACGGGGAAAAGCCTAGCGGGCAATTGCGCACTCGAGCTACTTATGAGGGCCAAACTGGCTACATGAAGATGAATCACAAAAAGATTTGCAGAAAAAAAATCTAATTGCGGCATTCACAAGTTTGATTTTCCGCAAAACCGTGGGTGTTCCAAGAAATTTGCAATAGAATCGCTTTTACCTCTTGTTTGGAAAATGGGTAGTTGTAACTTTTAATATTTTTTTACAGTCGTTTAAATAGTAGTAACTTTGTTTTGTCGTCTGATCAGAGTATTTAAGCCTTATTAATTTCCTTAATCAAAGTGACACGTATCCTACTCCCACTTGAACTTAAAAATGTACTGACTGAAAATTGAATAAGACAAAGAATTATGAGATTTTCTCGTATAGCCAGCGAAAAGCTATTTATGGCCTCGATGGCTAATCCTTACCTTTCCTATCTAAAAAATTGAAAACCAAATGCATTAAGCAGTCTCTCAGCCTAAAGAATCTTTAGAACTGAATGGTAACAACATTTTGCTAATTCCAAATCTTTTGTCTTTAATTATCTGAATATCGAATGGCATTTGATTCCAATTGGTTTGGATGGCACAAGACTTTTTGAATTTCCTTTATAGCAACGGAAAATATCCTGCAGCCATTTTGAAATTAGATTACCAGTGAGTTTATCGAATTAAAACGTAAAATTAACGAAGGTCTACACTTGGCATACCCTCTACAATAGTCTAAGCAATTATAAAGAAGGGAGTGTAGAGCAGTTGTTTCGGGGTGTTTCTTGGCAACCATTTTTCTTTTCTCTCAAAGCATCACGAAGAAGAATAGGTATTGGGCAATCCATTAGTCTCTTGGTACTTTGTCTGATAATTGAGATTTTTTATTTCTTAATTTGCAAAAAAATAAATTTGGGTTGCAAAGAATTAATTTATTTAGGGAAATCAGCGAAATAGATTGAATGACGAAGCTGACTCCGTCGTGAATTGCGCAGAGATTAAAGACTTTGAAACTCCTGTTAATTTGATATGGCCAGTTTTTAAAGATTTTCATTAGGAAAACCCTAAACTAGCCCCTTACCCACAAGCCACGTTTTGTAAAAACAACTCAAAGATTTCTGTTGAAGCAATCATCGTGATCTTTCATATTTTATGATGAAATGGATAGAACTAATTTACCGAAAGGAGATTATTTGATGTTTAATGGAGTCTTTTAGATCAATTAGAGAGTTCAAGCAAGAACAAAACACCTCTTATTCGATGAATGTCTGGTTGTCGAAAGGCCTTTCATCTTACTTCTAATGTGGCTGGAATTGACGCATATTTTACATTGAGTTACACTGGCAACTGGAACAAATTGGATGATGTTCCCAGTTTTAGTCACTTTTGGTATTATTTGTCGGATCGACGGACATTTTGATATCGTTAACAGAATGTTCTATCCAAGAGAATGTTTCTCGTCTGCATTCCATGCTATTAAAAAGCTCTAATCAACACTAGACAACCGTCTTCTTTGGCTTTCTTCGACAAAGCAACATATACTTTAGATTCTAATATTGAATTGTTTTTTGGGAAAAGTCTGCAGGTCATTGACGGGTTTTGAAAGGAGAAGACCAAGCCGATATTTATGTCAATAAATCTGCTACTCACTGCAACCTTAGCCAAAGGCACAGAATGGCTTATTGTGACTTAATGGAGGACCTATTTTTCGTTTTATGGGTGATAAGAAAGAATGTAAATAGGCGATGATCATAAAAGGCTTCACCTTTGCTTATGCATCATAGTACCCAATGTACAGTACCTGAGAGCAACAGTCCAGCAACGAAGCAAAGCAGTAATGAACAAATAGAGCAATTATGACGCAATGAGGTCGCAGTAAAAGAAACAGGCAGCTTCAAAACAGTTTGCCGCTGCCGTTTACTCTTTGTTATACAGTTCCCTTTAAAGGCAAAAACATAACGCTAGCACAGAAAGCCTTTCCTTTTGCATTCGATTCTGTGAATGAACGATAGATAATCTCTTGAACAATGTATGTTTCGTAATCATCTTTTGGTTCATTATAAGATGCGATTATGGATTCGAGTTCAGTTTGATCGAGTCTTGTTTGTTGTCATGCTCACTGCGTGTTGTAGACCCGTACATTCTATTTGGGGGTAAAACAAGGTAGAAGATTACAATTTTGTGCAGAACTTAACATTTATGAATTTAAAAAGATAATGTAAGAGAGAGCAAAGTTACTTTTATTAAAAGCTTTCATGCTGCATTTTTCTTTCGACTACCAACTTGGAAAGATATTCCCTTGGCACTGTAAAGTAACGGGTGATTACTACACGGAAAGGATTTGATGGTTGACCATCATTGTTGTAAAAACTGCATTTAATTTAAAATTACGAAAACAATGACCACCTCTACACGATCCAGAGTATCAGAGTTAGGCTCCACACCGTGGGAAATATTCCGCATATTGACTTACTTCAGTGTTTTCATTTTGACCATTTGCAGCATTGAAAGAAGCTGCTTTTGGAAAACAGAAAAAATTAGAGAAAGTTACATTAGACCTAAATCGTTTTTGCATTGTTTGCAAGGCTGGTCGTAAAGGGGGTATTTCAAGAGGTAATTTGACAGCAATTACGTCATTGGATTGCTTGCTATCATTGGTTAAAACATTTGTATGGGATTGCAAAAAAAAGTGGAATGTGTCAGCACCTGTATATGCGAAGAAGCAATGCCAGCTGTCGAAATTGAGAAAAAAGTAATTCTCACCTAATAGATGATATAATTTGATTACAAATATTTGCGTGTTTATTCCGCAATTACAGTTTGAAACGCCCATATTTCGATCACAAACAGGAAAAAATCTTGTAAGGATAAGTGAATGAATGACAACTGGACATTAATGCGATAATCTTTTTCTTTCTAAAGAGTGTTTTGAAATGGTCTAATCATAATCCTAAAGCAAATTTTAACGAGTGATTGCCGAAAATTGCAGTGACAAAATCCCTTTAGCAAACCATATTAAACAAACACAGATGTCATGGTGCTGGAGTACGCTTCTGGTGTTCTTGAATCAGCTTGCCAATGCAAAGTATTTTCTAGAGGTCCCTCGTTAATGCTTTATCTTCCATATGCCTGGGATTCTCAGAATACAATGCCTCCTACAACCCAAGATCGTTAATGCTTTTCACTTTTACTGTATAGGACTTGGTTAATTTTGAAAACCTCTTTTCAGTTGGTATACAAACATCAGTATGAGGATTGTCTTTGTCAATCATCTGGCTTTTTTTTGAAATTATATTTTTGTTTTTCGTCCAAGTTCAAGACGAACTATGCGGATATATTCGCTAGAGAGCTCTTAAATAATGTTGATCCAATCTTTTCCTTATGAATTTTTCTGGCAAACTCGAATAGTCTTTAGAGTGAATTAAACAGCTTTTTGATTTTTTAATTGTCTTGTGACATTAAATAAAAATTAATCATAATATGTCATTATTACTGTAATTGATTGACCCATTGCAAAAATGCAAAACCGAAAATATTGATTGGCTTTGTTAACAGCGATGGTTAAAAATGGATGATTGAACAAGTTCTTCAGAATCCATTAGTTTAGATAACCAAGACTGGTACTATGCATGCTCCTTTAATCAAACAGTGACGATGAAAATTTTTTCTTTCTAAACTCACTATTTAAGCTCGATAACTTTTTCCAAAAAAGAGTGACAAATGAATCTGGTTGCACCACAAACGGTCTGTTTTTTCGGAAATATTGAAATCTCTTGCCTGATAGATACAAAGCAAGTATTTACAACTTAAGCACTCAAAGTGACCTGGATATCATGTTTACTTCTCTTGTTTTCCATGCGAGCATCCAACCCTATAATAAAAAACGATCAGAGCACCACAATCCAATTTTATTTAATGTACACCCTTGGCAATTCGCTGTTAAGTCGAGCCAAATTTTAGATTTGGCGACGCGATAATTTTCCGCTAAATCATGCCTTTCTCAGTTTCCAATATGCTTGTTTTCATCCAGAAAGTTTCCATCGAACCTTATTTGTTTGGACTGCCTAACCCAATTTTGCCTATTTCATTTTTCTCCTTATTTAGTACTGTTTCATAACTCTGTGACATTTCGGTATATCAGTCGGTGCTTTTGTCCTTAGAGACAACCAGAATCTGGAACTAAGTCCAATACATTTGGCCACTTTTACTAGGCCACTATCCTAACACCGTCGTGATGACCCCCATCTATAAAATAACTTCAAATATTACGAAGCTATTTTTTAAAGTATTTGTTTTACTTTTTTTTATTGTTTAAATATCCATTAAGCATCAAGAAATCAATTTGCCTTATCAACTTCACTTCCAATCGTGTTTGTGATGTAACATGTATGTATGATCAGACACAAAGGCATAGCCTTCTGTTCTTGCCATCAATCTTTCTATGAACGTCAATATCAAACGTAACCCTTTCTGGTAGATTGCCAATTATATTACCCTTTATTGTGTCTTCTTTTAAAGGAACATATCTTTTCCACCTTTAGAATTGATAAAGCGTTTCCTTTTTTAAAGCTAGGGAAAACCTTAAACATTATAACAATGCAGAGAGACCACTGGTGCCTTTTAGTATTCTGGTTGCTGAATTTTTCTGAGATTAGGCCCGAAAACGGAAATATACCAAAGATTAGTCCCATGCTGATTCTAATGCCGTAGATGGGCCGAAATTTTTTCATTTGTTCCGTACATTGGCAAAGGGATTTTCTCCTTTTAACAAGCTCACTACTGATGACTTAATTCTCTGTTTAATCTTCTTCAAGTTTGTTATAAAAAATTTTATTTGACGTTTCATAGTTAATTCTCTCTTCAAAAGTATGAACGATTTGTTTATGATGCCGAAACTTCGTTTAGTTGCCATGGCCTTTGCGAATCGACTCTCTTTTACCGACTTTCTCAATCACGTTGGCTTTACCAAAGATACAACTTTTTTGGGGAGGGAGCAGCCCTGATAAATAAATGTAAAAACAGCTATATTTTACAAAATGAAAGTATTTTGCTTATGCCACTTAAGTTTTTTTTGGAGGGGGAGGGCGAGGCCGCTGGCCCCCGAAATCTCGGTCCTTGGGTTTTACAGAGCGGAGAGTTAGCTCATGGTCAGGATTTCCAATGAACGCGCAATAATCGTTTGAGCTATAGCACGGAAAGTTGACTTTTTCACTGTTTACACACGCTAAAAATGCTGTCTTTGCATCTAAATTTAGTTGGCAAAATGAGTTGTTACTCTTGCTATCACTTGGGGTTGCAATGTCCAGGGTTGCCAAATTTACCCTTCTTCTTAGCTCAATTAGTTCCTCAACAAATTATTCCTCAACCCTTATGATAATTCCACTTTATACAACGACCCTTTATCAAGATTGCATTTGCCTTCATTCAACGCGAAGGCAACTCCACTACCGTTCTGAGGACTATTTATTATTAAAAGTTGCAATGACGTCAGAATATGTTATCCAACATTATTTAGGATATCGATTTTGGCAATAACAATGATAGATTCTGTTTCACTTGTTCGAAAAAGTTTTCTTTTTAGCGCCCTAGAACATAGAAACCGATGAGGGCGTGCCTGTTTAGTCCCCATTTCTCTTTAAATCAGCAAAACCATCGACTTTTTTGTTTTTGCTGTTTTTTCAAACTATTTAAGTCTTTGAGGTTGCTCCATAGAATTTCTTCCTCTTATGGTGTCTCTTGCGTCTAATTTTCCGAGATTATCCTACTGAAATAAATTAGTGCTTCGTAACAAGATAAACAGCAACAACATCCAAGGTGGGTGCGTTTCACCGCCAAAATAAACTAGCTCGCTCGAGTTTAATGTGATGAATTTTTACAGAATGGGTGGCCTCGCGTCATAACACCGGGAAACTCGCTCCGTGGGCCTTTATTTTATACAGAGCTCTTCTCATTATCCTGTCTCTTCACAACGAGGTCCTCCGAATCCAATGTAATATGGCGGTTTCTTTGCACGTGTTGTTATCGACGCTATAATTGCCGGCAATCCAAACCAGAAGCCGTTTGCTATCTCCAAATGACTTATTTTCAATAGTCGCCTCCTTAATCAACGTGGTTGCATTTAAAGATTAGCAACTGTTAGAAACAGTTCTAAGTATCGTCAACAGTTTTAATAAAAAGGATTAATATGGGAATTACTTGTTTGCGGGGATTCTTCAGCGCGCAGTCTTTGAACACAACTTTTTGTTTACCAGGCTCCGCAAATTACAGTGATTGCGCTATTATTCTCTTTTCTTGAAACTTTTCACTTAACGCTCAACTTGAGCGAGTCTGTAGAGTTTTTGTAAAATGTAAAAGTGTTTAAGTTTATTGTTTTCAAGACACTCGATTCCTGTGTTCTTTTATCAAAGTTTGTTCTAACAAAGGGCATCATGTGCACTTGGTTAAGATTACAAAAACAACGAAAAAAGCAAGTTGATATCTTGATACCATTTATGGTATAAAAACAAACATTTTTATAAATCAACTTTCAAAGATAGATCACTTCTTTCTGAGATAGAGTAGCATGGTTGGAATGCCTGATAACTCGGATTCTCAAAAACATCGACCATGTAAGAAACCAGATGTAAACAACAACTGGACGTACTTGACAAATCACCTTTAGCTGTTGTTGAAACAAGTAGAGTTTAGAAAATCTCACGAAAGATTTTTATGAAAGGTTATATATGATATTTACCTTTTTCTTCCGTAGATGCAACCTTGTGAAAAGAATTCACAATGCGGAGAAAACCAGTGCTGTGCTTTAAGACTAAAGCTTTTCGGTTACAAAGGATACTGTTTAAGAACAAAGTCTCTTGGAGAAGTTTGCAGTCCAAACGTAATGGTAAGACGAACAAATTGTAGTTTATATTTCTTGAATTGAAAAGTCAACCGCAAATTCAAATGCATTTGTCAAATGGAAGGACGGGTATTGTTTTAAACATCTTTGTCAACAAGGGCATGTAGAAGGTGAGAAAAAAGGGAATATGCCATTAAAGTTGGTAGCTTTTGAAGTTTTACCAGCAAGGCCATTTTGGATTCAAATCGAGGCTATAAAATGCACCTTTGGAATGAATAATCTACGTCATCATTGTTGCTGACGAATCTAATCATTAAAGATCTTACTGCCTATTGATTGAGAGATTTTCTCCATGCAAGTTGTTTACACATATGTTGTTTACTTTTCAGTCTGTTATTTTTAAAACAGACTCAATCTCTTAATTTACTTTAGCGTAAATCATTGTTTACTGCTTTTTTTATTGTCTAGTTGGCTCAATGTAAGCTGCATTTTCTTGTTTGCCAGCATTCCTGTTTCCCTTTGCTAGAATTTTTCAATGAATCCCGACTTCCCTTCCACGACAGCTCTTGCTTTTATGCTTCTGATCGGGCTTTTATTCTTGCATTGCCTATTAAATTTCCCTAATCGAGCAGTGTTAGGCTACCAGCAGGCTCCCATCACCCCATTAAGACATCTGCTCGCGTTCCACTCTGCAAATCCCTACTTCCTATATCTATATTCTCTCGATGCATCATAATATGAATATGTAGTAAAAAACTTAGCCAGGACAAAAAGCTTTGCTAGTAGGGTGCTCCTTGCATAAACACTGAGAATAATGATGCATTAGAGCGAAAGGGCTAATTATAAGCAGACTTCCTGTTTGCTTGAACAGTATTCTGACTTGATTTACAGCATTAGAAATCATTTCGTTTCTGTCTGATTTAGCAGTTAAGCTCATGCTTGTGCTCTTAATTGGCTTCGTCAATGGAATGTCTGCATTTTGTTTGTTTTTCTCACAATCTGCAATGATTAACACTCTTACACCTTCTCTTATGTGTGCGCCTTAGATACATTACATTAACTTTATATCAGAAAATTTCATGATTGCTTGACACCTGTTTCTTTACTTTTAGAATGGAAAACACTTCACGTGTAGCTGCACTGTGGGCCTTACCTGCGCTATAACGGACCTGGATAAATTCAAAAACCCCAAGTACAGATGTGTGCGAATACCAACTGAGGTTCCCGAAGTCTCTGAAAGGCCAAGTAGGCCCGTCGAAGACACCCCACAAAACTCACCGTACGCAATTATGTTCAATAAATACTTGCAGAGCAGACTAAATCGACTAAGGAGTGAAAGTCCACGATCACGATCGTCTTGATCACTCTTTTATCAATAGCATGTTTTCTTCCTTGAAAGAAACTAAAATGTTCCGTTAATTAGCGGTGTGTCAAAGTATTTTACTTCGCATGGATACTGCTATTCGTAGCAATGCGGCCATCTGACAGATACTCTGAACGCCAAAAAAACGCGGACGAAAGTACAATCTCCTGCAAAGCTGAAAGTGCTACAGATCATTTATTTATGACGAAACTTGAGTTCTGGTTGGCAACTTTTGCAAGCTGTTCGCGTCATAAGGAGGCTCCTCTATGATGGCGGTCGGAGGTATGAACTACCAGAATGGCAAGGGTGTATGAGTGAACAAAATTCTCCAAAACTTCTTCAAATACTGAAAAGTTAATGGACCGACATTTACAGATAATATGATAATGTATGTTAGTTGAAAATTTAAAATATACTGTGGTTTTAGAAAGTTAAATATACTAATTTATTCATTGTAAATAGTATACTGACGTTATGCCTACTGGGGTTATGCATACACCAAATAATTCATCTGAAAATTACAATCATTGCAATAACTTGTTATTTTTGAAGAATTATCATTAATAAAGTCAAAAGCAAAAAAATCTTCAAATCAACAATTTGCTTAAAAAATCATTTCATAACTGATTTTTTATTTGGTTGCCAGAACTCCGCCTCCCACATGAATTATTATAGACTCAAATATAAGAGAAATAAACCTAATAGCTAATTATGCTTTCTGATCATAAGGGTGCTTGAATAAGGAATTTTTCGAGTTTTTTCCACATGGACCTAGAAAACGCATTAAAATGGCTGAAAAAGTGTACTATTGAGGAGAAGAACAGTGATTTGTTACTTTAGAAAGCAATAATATTTAGTATAAGTATATTTGCGATATACATAACCCCAGAGTCATGAAGCTTACGTATCATTCAAACACGAAAAGACACTCAGTATCAGAGACTAAGAAGAGTATCAAAGAACTGACTTAGAACAGCTTCAGGTGATTGGTACTTCCCCAGGTTTTAGCTCTGAAATTCTACCTTGTGCTTTCTGTATACTAAGATGGCCGTGTTCCATATCTATGGCATATTACTGCGTGTCTTTTCTTGCAATTGAGCATGTTAATAAAATTTAGGCGTTGTAAAACATAAACAACGATAATCTCTAGGATATCATAAATCAAAATGAAACATATGGCATATAAAATATTGTGTATTCGCTCTATTGTTCTCTTGTTCTGTTATCGGCTGGCTCGATGAATACCCTAACCTGTACAAATTAAAAGTTCTGTCATCTGCGTTTCCAGCCGTGACATAAACAAGGAAGCTGCAAATTTTAAATTACCCTGCAGTAACCTTGCAGAATACAATCCTTTTATCAGATTCCTTTTGATAAAAGGTTGATATCGAGCCAGCGGACCTTAATCAAATTTTCTCAGAATCTAACATTATAAGAATACTTCCGTGTTATGATAATGATGACCTTGTTACACAGTGGACCAAGCCATTCGATGACTGCATCAGTTTCACAAGAAGCTCTAAAAAGTTACGTTTATCTGCGCTTGTTTTTATTTTTGCTAAAAATTTCCATGGAAGCGCTTGCATATCACAATCATTTGTCGCTTTATTGTCTTCGGGAAGTAAATAATGATTGAAGACAAGAAAAAGCAACTTTCTAGACATGGTGGGAAAATTCACTAACATAGGACCAGCAAGGACGTTCGTTTGTCAGGACTGGGAAAACAGACTTAGAAAACAAATTTCCCGTGTATTTGATTGTACACAAAGTGAAGCGGGATAAAAGAAAGTGGTTGGGTTTGAGTCCAAAAGAAGACAGGAAGGGAAGATTCTTCAATATGAATTAATTTAGAAATTTTGTAGTCGAGAACTGAGGATAGAGAAATATGCTTTTATATCTTTTCGTTTAGTGAGGATGCCAATCTATTCTCAGCTATTGAGTATGAATCACTTTGGACACCCAAACGGATCTTGTTCTGCTGATATACTCTTTAAAACTTACAACATTCGTCTCACCAATGATTTTGGCATTTCTAGCAACAGTTATGTCGACTTTTCTGTTGGTGGCAAGAATGCTTCAAGATATTTTGTTGCGTAGATTTTATCAACACGGCAACAAAAAACAAGTTAGATGGGCGATCTGTCTAGTCAGAAACTAGTAATTTACCGCAAGTTACTTCTCAAGGACAAATACCCAGAAGTTTTGTACTAACAGAGTGTAATAAGAGGAAAGACACATAGCTTAGACCATTTTCCTTAATCTCTCCACGATTTTTGTGCTAAAACTCTTGAGTCAATTAAAAACAAAGTGAAGGACTGGATGTTTTTCAACGAGGAGTATATGATGTTTGTTTAGGTTGCCCGATTGCTGACCAGGGTGGCATGAAAAAACTGATGAAAATACTTTAATTCAATTTAATTTGGTTTGGCGGATTCTTTACAACTAACTTGTCCTTTATTAAAGGTTTTGGGGTATCAATCATAACTCCTTGCATACGTAAAGATGTAAACACTCGGATTCAGTCTTTTTGGCCCACCGACTGCGACCGTAGAGCTGCATTACCCTCAGAACAACACAAGGCATGGAAATTGCAACAAACATAGCGCGACACGAACACCATAAATTTGAGACACTTTGGACTTCATTTCTACCATGAGAATTCCTTACTTCTACTTTCGGCCGAACACGCCCTCAGTGCATGTGTGTTAATTGGTGGATATCTCAAAACTTTAACATCGGATGATAGCAGTAACTCTGTAACATTTAACAATAGCAATAACTTTGCAGCAGTGAAAAAAGGGTGCCTAAAATAGGGTGTTTCCACGCTAAAGAAGGGTGATCTAGAATCACAATCTTTAATAAAACGTATCCTGCATCTGCTACCTTAATCCAGTTAATGTCCGCTTTACAAAATTACTATATGTAAGGTTTTAGCAGTAAATGATTTGATTTAAACAGTATTCTATTAGTGCATTGTATTTTTTCAAAGAGATTATCAGAAATTATAGCGAAAAATGCTCGGTACCAATATTTAAGTATATTTTCCGATTCCGTATTATATCTCCCAAAACTGTGCGACTTTCGTGAAGATTTCTATCGAAAAAGCAGCTTCCAAATGAATTGCCTTCCAACTATCCTTTGTACCAAAGATTAAAAGCAATATTAATTTTGATAATGATATTATGATATATAATGTTAGTAATATAATAAAAATAGTACGAATCCATATACAGAATTTTATACTTTAACATGTTAATGCTGTTATCAACGGTGGTCTTGATTGAATAAAATGGAAAGGCAAAGGCAAAGTAAAACAATAAACACAAAATAGCAATGAATATCTAGAATTAAAAATGGAGATCTGAGCGATTTACTCCAGTGGTAGAGGTGCCATAAGCACCACGAAAGTCACCAACTGTACCAGTCAGGCTGAATCTGAAACATTTACCGATTAAGAAATTCCTCCATGGTTTTCATCTGCTAAAAAACATTTTTCAGGACAAAAAGAGCCCTTAACATGACATGAAAACACAAAAATGTATCTCCGTCAGCATAAGAAATTGCAGACATTTTACGGTCGCTATGGTGAATTCATAACATTCTTTTAAAATGGTTTACCGTCCTTTGGTTTTAGCACAAATTAATTCCTTCTCTTTATATCCAAAATCTCGTTAGGGACATTATGTCTACCATTCAAAAACACTAAAAGGTCTCTAGTTGTAAACAGTGAGCACGTGGTTTGGGCTCAGGCAGTGGCTTTTTCCTGACTGTCTTCCCAAACTCTGAGCGAAGATCTATACTGTATGCAGGCCCCATTTAGATAAAAAAATAGGTTTACCCCTGAACCTTTAATCCTTACAGGTTGGCCTTACTGATCTTTCATGATTTTGAATTTTATTGATAAAACAGTACTTTGATCTTATAACCTTCAAGACAATAATGGATTTCGAGACTCTTTTGGTACAAATTAAGAAAAACATGTTTTAAAAATTTTAAGAAGTGCACAAAAACAAGTATATTCTCTTGAAGTATTATCAAATCAACCTTTCTTCAAGGACTTTGGCTAAAACAGAAAAGTAGAAAGTGCGAACATACAAATAAGGTCATTTTCGAGCTTTCATCTGGTGTCAATGGCATTTTGAAAACTAAATGGAATCGCTGTCTGTTGGCATCAAAGCATTTCTCCTAAAGGGTTCTTGGCAACTTTCAAGGGGAATTAAGATTTGTCCTGAGGTATGTCAAGAAACGAGACACGGTGTCTTGTTTGGAGCAATTTGCGGTTTTTCAGATTTCAGCCATTATATTGGTGCTAAGTAAAATCACATGCAGCAACCTTGGAACTAAGGTTGTAATTTCCAACAATCTTGAAAGTATGGTGGTCTGCCTAATAAACAGAATAAGAACCTACTATTTCCAATATTCGAATGTTTCCCTTCTTATGTCAGATAAGAAAAGTAATTTGGAAGTTGCTGATCAGACAAATCTTTTTGTAGGAGCTGTCTATCTCAGAAAACATTATTAGACCATTTTTGAACCCTAATCCTTATATCACCCATCGGCAGCCTTTTTCGTAGATACGGTTACAGCGACCTGAGAATCCAAAACATCTTGGTAATTAAAATAAGGGAGTTTACTTAGTGTTTGCAAATTAATAGATGTACTAACTCTCCTGTTAATAATTGCCTCTTTAGCATTAGTAAACCCAAATCCTTTGCTTGTGGTGCAGCAACAAATTGTCGCTCTTCTTTTGAAAGAGAGAGCCAGACACACTACACAATGCATAAATTGACTTTTGAGACAAACAGAGCAACTCAAAAAAATTTATCTTTAGGATTAATGAAAAAACCCAAGACGAAAGAATACGGATTCAACTGTGTTTCAAATCTTAAAAAGAAAGTGCAGTTGTCACATTCTGCCCTGAGCAGATCAACAATAGACTACACAATCAACAAGTCAGCAAGAAAAATCACAAGCTAAATGTCACAAAACGTGTTGTTCACGAAGCCTTTCGTTAGAAAATGTCAAAGAAAATTGCACAGAAAAGGTGCAATTATAGTTTGTTTGATATATTATTCAATATTTCCATTATGTTCATATTTCCTCAGCCAAGTTTATTGCGCTGGAATCTTTCGTTGATTGAAGATTGATTGGTAATTTTTTGCAAATGTAAAGAATATAGGCAGTGTATTCCCTCATTTTCATTGTTTATCAGTTTTGCCCCTTTATTCATCTTTGTTAAGTCTCTTTTCTGTAAGGGCACGAAGTGAAACTCGCTGCGAACCACATCCCACCCCTTCTCGCACTCTCTCTCCAAAAAGGCATCGCAGGTACAAAATAGCTCCTGTGCATTGTCACCGACCAAGGCCGCAATGCCTTGTGCGATACGCGCCAATTTGAAATTAAAAAGCAGTCATGGCCTATCTGTTTACAAGGGTTCTACTAGTCATCACACCGGTACGCCGATGAAGCAACACAGTGTAAAATGTAAAAGCGTACAGAGGTGAGAAGGTATTTAATTAATGGATAACACCTGTGGTTATAAAGGGGTTACAACACACGATACTGCGGCGTGCAGATGTACAACTCTGTCAAAAGCCTTTCTCGTTTTTGCACGTGCCTAGTGTCTGATTATGTGAAGTTGCCCAATTCAAATTCAAATTTTCATTTCACACCAATTCATTAAATAAGATTAAGCAATGAAAAATATAAAGGGACTGCTAAATTTAAGATGGTTAAGTAACAGGAAATATATATTTACATATATTTATCTATAACAGTAACTATTACAAAATAAAAGAAAAAACTCGTTAGAGCTATCCAGCCACTTGCCCCTGTTTGACGTGAATTTGTGTAGTATTAAAGTATGAATTTGATTTACAAATTATAAGAGGTCAAACAAATAAAGATATGTTATTTACTGTCATGTAATGCCCTGAAGTTGCTTGGATGCCGATCTTGAATTTGCTGCCCTTCGGTGATGAAAAACTAAAAGGAAATACTAAACTTCCTAAAAATTAGAAAATTTTATGTTTGCCAGGCTTGTTGTTTCCTTCCCTGCTTGCTATACCCCCTTATCCTTTTGCTACACCGAAACAATATTATTTTCAAATTCCTTAGCGAGATGATTGTCTTTTTGGGAGTTGCAAGAACTTGTTTCTTCTTTGATAAGCCCCACTCTCAAAAGAGCCAAAAAGACATTCTTCTACAAGGTCCTCCTCTTGCCTGCTCAAAATCTCAATCAAATGTCATTGTTAATGTGCAGAGGCTTTTTAAAAATCAAGCTTGATTTGATGAAAAAGGTGCTTTGTAGACCAAAAAATAAAAGATCAAACAATTTCTTCAAATCAAGAGTCAACTTCTACAATGTTACTTTTCCAAACTTGTGCCATTATTCCTAGAAGACCAAAGGCTGTGTTTGGGAAAGTATGTCTCTTTAATAGTTTAATCTGTTTTTTGAGATAATTATATGTTTAAGTTTGATTAGGATTGTTACATCAGCCATGATTCATTTGCATGAAACTGTTCTGTTCAAATGATGAAATCCACAACATATATCAGAAGAGGAGGCTCTCAGAAGAGGTACCCCCTTAGATGAGCACATTTATGACATAACAAATGCTACTCTAGAAATTCACCAACTAGTTGCCATCACTGATATTTGTGTGTTTGTTGTTGTTTTTTCTCATCGCATTGCGGTGTTCCTTATACACTACTAGTTACCAAGAACCTTTTCAAAAAGAAAAAATACATCATCAACAAATAACAGAAGGTTCCTGCAGATTTCAGCAAAACCTCTTGCACCCATATTCTCTTTGATGTTGTCAGCAAACCTAGTTTTTGGTCTTCCTTGTCCTTGTTTGTTATAAACAGTTTTTGTCAGAATATCTCAGAATATCTTGATGTCAGCAGTCTGGTTTCACAATTGATTTTGCTTTAAAACACCTTCATTAGTTATCTCCTCAGTCCAGCTGATTCTTAAAAGTCTACTGTAACACCATAACTCAAAACTATTGAGTCTCTTTTTACCAGCTTCTTACTACACAGGGGTCAGAATTGTTTAAATTTCTTTCCACAACAGATTTGTGGTGTCAAGGGCCCCATTCTAAAATGGGCAGTAGTGCCGAAGCATATTAGTGGTGGATCTATGTTGTGCTTGAAAGCAAATGTTACAACTAATATCAATGCCATACCATATAGTAAGGACCACTAGAATAATGTAAGATGTAACAATGCAGATGTTTATTACCCTTAGTTATAGAGTATTATTTGAACTAAATTGTCAATATTTAATTAAACAGCATATTTACTACAACAGTATTGAGTAGCTGGCAACTATGCTACTGCTCAAAAGAGTAATGTTTGGTTCAGGATTCTTCTGTAGATGATAATGTGCTTATTGCTTGAATCAGACCTGGCCATTTGAGGAGAGCCATAGCTCTTGCTCCCCTCAAGACTCCCCTCAAGGCTCCCCTCAGATGCTTGAGGGGAACTATTGATTGCTCTCCTAAACTGTTCAAAAATTTTGTTGCCCTCCTTAAAAATAAGTTTCCTTTATTTCTATTTTTATACATCTACAACAGCTCACCTGGAATTTATTAGGAGAGCTTTTTGCTATTCCCCATGCTAAAATTCTTATGACCAGGCCTGGTTTGAATAGTACTTAGAAAAGGGGAATATTTGAAAAAACTTTGACATGATATTTTTCAAGTTTAGGTCACCTAAACTTGTTTAGGTCACTGTTGGGTCATCTAAAAGCTAATTTTCCTTCGGTCGAGAATATTTCAGGTCTAGCAATTTTTCTTGGGTGACTGAAATGTAAAGAATATATTTGAAACACAGCTAAGGGTTGCATGCAAAGGTTCTTCATTGTAAGGTTTAGCAGTCCTGAAAAAATGGTCCCAAGATCTCCCATCAGTTAAGACTTGTCTTGACTTGACTTTGTTTATCCACTAGCTAGATTTGACAAGGGAAAATTCTCTTTCACTTTCATGGAAAAGTAAAAAATTCTATTAGAAGTTGTTCAATTTCATTGACCCCAAATTCAGTTTTTACTTGAATCAGCATCTAAATAATATAACTTAAGCTGTTGTTGTGTCAACTACTGATTTATTTGATTATAAGCCACTGCTTGAAATTATTTTTTGGCATGTTTTGCTGCAGTCTAGAATCAAGGATAACTTATAAATGAGCGTGGCTTAATACATGATTTTCGCCAGATTCTACAAATCTTTCCATCTATCTTGAAGCTGGGAGTAATAATGTAGAAGAGGAGGAAGAAATACTTTGGGTGCTATTGAGGATGTCATGCTGGACGATGTTGTTGGATGAACTTTTAATTTTTAGTACACAATCAGATTTTTATCAGTTTATGCAACCATCATTTCAAGCCAAGTATCTCTGCTTACATTTTTTATGAACCCAATTTGCTGTGACTTGTAATTGAATCAATAAGGTATGACTTTCTTTAGTAATGAAGCCTGTATCTATTCTTCAGCCATATTTTGACATAATCTCAGATTGGATTTTCGTACCTAATTTTTCTTGCTAAAATTTTACAATCTATGCACAGCTCAGAGCACAGCAGCATCTGGAATTTCAATACTTCCTTGATGTGCGAAGGTATTTTTGAAATTCAGAATCAGAAATGTTTCTGGTGTTTGTTTCCATATTTCTTTCCTCAGTCATTTCTGGTTCATCATAAATGTTCAGATGAATAATGGAATCCTTTGTTTTGTCAGATTCCTCGCTATCCATGCTAGTGCAGCTGCTTCCCTCTTGGTTTTCCCGAATGTTTCTTTTGTCTGTAGTAGATAAACATATTAGTGTTTATTTGTCATTAAAATTTTGATATTTCTTCTATTTTATTGAAAAAAAGTTATATTGATAATAAATGTAATATATAAAATACATAAAATGATATATTTATAATAGAATCAAAATGATATGATATTATAAAGTTTTATGTAAATTTTAACAAAGTATAACTTAATATAACATAACATAGTATAACAAAATATGATATGATATGATATAATATAATATAACATAAGATAATATATATGATATAAATAACATACTATGATATAAGATAATATATATGATATAAGATAATATAATATAATATAGTATAATATTAATATAATATAATATAATATAATATAATATAATAAATATAATATCAATATAATATTAATATAAATAAATATAATATAATATAATATAATATAATATAATTAATATAATATAATATAATATTAATATAATTAATATAATATAATATAATATAATATAATTAAATATATATCATATAATATAACATAAGATAAGATAATATGATATAAGATAACATAATATGATATGAGATAATATATAATATAATATAATATAATATAATATAATATAATATAATATAATATAATATAATATAATATAATATAATATAATATAACATGATATAATGTGCTTTAATATAGTTTGATATGATATAAAAAGTAAGGTATTTTAATGTAATATAATACAAGGCAATAAAAGATGATATGATGTAGTTAAGTATAATGCAATATGTTATGATATTTCATGATAGGTTATCAAATGATATACATAAATGTTATTTTATGATAGGTAGCATAGTTGCTTTTGGTTTAATAGCATATGCTATGATGTTTTAATCAGAAAACCGAATAAATTTCTGAAAACGCAGTTCTTGACTTTGTTTTTGTTTATACTTAACAACACTTCTAATGTAATTAATTTTGTGCTTTCAATTTTCATAGCAAACTTTGCATGTTTACATACCGACTTTTGCATACAAGGCACTGAATGATCGGTGAATGTCTGTTATCTCTGCTGGAATGTCATACTCGTCATCTGTTTCAGCTTCAGGATTAGGTCTCCAGATATCAGTCAAGCTGATTCTGTCTCGCTTTGTGCTGTATATCGTATCTCTCTGGCGGGGTTCAAAGCTCCGTAGCTTGACAATCGGTGGCAAGGGGGGTGGGGTGCGGTGTGGGCTAATGCCAGCCCTGAACCCTTTATTCTATTAATGTAAATGCAAAATAGCGTTACAAACTCAGGTTTTCAGGAGCAAATTTTGTTGATCTTATTTTAGAAAGACGTATTTCTTTTTGAAAAATACCCATTTTCTTGTTAACTGTTGCTTTGGTGAGATTATACAGCACTGTTTACATATTTGAAAAGTTTTCAATCTTAAGAAGTCTATTTTGTCTTCCTTAGAGCAAAAATAAGAAATTTTTAAGAATACGTTAATATACCTTTAGTATATATTGATCAACTGACATTCTTTGAGCCATTGCTAAAAGGGAAATATATAATTAAAAGAAAACTTGCTGTCAATCTGCTATAAAAAAATTGTTTTAACGAAACGGCATCGGCTGAACAGCGGACAATATTTTAGCCTTTTTCTGACTTGTCGAGCACTTATTTGCCTTTTGAAGCCATGCTTATGTCTTAAACCTTCCTCGTACTTAGAAGAGTCATTAATCTCCTCAAGCCAGGGCAGCAAATGAAATATGACCAAGGCATTTATGAGCTATCCTATTTTTGTAACTTATTCTACAACTTCACTGTAACTGATTTTTTTTAAAGTCGTATGGTCAATACTGTACCAAATAAAGCATGGTAAAACTTTCTGACATAGAAAAAGAAAATCTAAGTTAGCAACGAAAAGTAGTGGCAAGATTCGAAAAGTTTTGTTAAGACGCTCCTAAAAAGTTAAAAATAAAAAGCTATATGGTACAAATCCCATACCATATATCTGGTACAGATCATGTTAAACAGTTTTTGATATCCTTTATTTGACAAGCTTCCTTCGCTTTTCCAAGCAAACATTCTTATTTGTCATTACCTTAATATCGATCTTTTCTTTTTTTTCTCGAAAATCAGTTTAAACTGGTTTAGTAAAAAAAGGAAGTTTCTTTCCACAGCCGAGTTTGTTGAATGCTTTTCGTAGAAATTGCTTATTCGCCCTGCTCCTTGATTGCCGGATTACCATCACTCCATCTGAGGAATCTTTTAGTTAATTTAGATTGGTTATATCAAAATCTAGAACCATTTTTCTTTGCTTGGAAACAACCGTCCTCTTATAGCTGAAAATGCTGTTGGAATCAATTTACTGGACAAATATGTATAGTTACAGAGAACTTGCAATGCCCAAATGAAAAACCATTATTTTATCTCTTATATGGGGGTGGACATCGACCAATTCAAGCTGTGCAAGCATCAATCGGAATTTATTTTGCATTTTCAGATTATTTTTAATCTGACCAGTTTAGATTCAGAAAGAATTGGCAAAAGTAGCAGCTTGATTTTTTAAATTCGTTTGGTCGGAGCTTCTTTACCCATATAATTCCACAAGTTTTAGTTAACTTTGACGACATATTACCACTAAGGACAAATTTCCCTTACCATTTCTATGTGCCTCGCGAATTTTGTTCTTTTTCCTGAAACACGTAAGTCAATGATATTACAAATTTTCCAAAAGTTAGCATTGTCAATATATCTTCCTAGACAAATTCTTAAAGAGAACATCATCTTTTTTTAAACATTCTCCTCCCTACCGCGGACACCTCCATATATTGGGAATCTGTATAAAGGAGAGCACTTTATAGCGGACATCTCAGTTAAGCGGTCACTTTCTTATAGCGTAACCCCTTTTCCCGGACACCTCTTTTTAGAAGACACCTCCAAAAAGGATAATACTATAAAGCGGACATTTAATGCTGGTATTGTTCATTTTGTGACGCCATTATCGTTTCACCGCTTGTAATGGTATTCTTTCGCGACTGCATGAAATATCTGGAGCTTTTAAAATCCATGGAATTCAAGGAGAACTGGTATTTATTTTGTCCCGCAACAATTTTAATCTCAATGCAAAAAGTTTATTTTTAAAGCAGAAGTAACTATTTACTAAACTTCCTCATGATTTTTTCCTAAAATATTTCTCTCTTTAGATCAAAAGTTTTAAAAGTAGTTGAGACAGAGTCTTTTTAAAAAGACACAAAAATGGAGTTTGCAGTCAAGAATGAACACATTTCTGTGATTGTGAAAACAAACGCCTCTTCTTATGTCTGGAAAACGATTTAAAGGTACAACACATGAACTACTTTTGCATAGTTTAGAAAATAAACTTTCCTTCTTTCACCGGTTCCTTATTTTGAGGTTTGCGCACACGAGCCGCTCGTTCAGTACATTGGCTCATTTTGGCGAAGGAATGTTGATGTATGAAGATGAAGCATGTTGAAAACGTGCAGTGTCTTATTAAAGGCACTAATATGTTTAATTTGTAAATAATCATACCAGGACCCAAAAGTCATGGCGGTCACAAGGTCAACGACTACGAGGAAGGTCAATCGAAGCAAAATCCTGAAGATCCACCTTCAAACAATCTGTCCACCTTCTAAACATTTTCGTTATGTTTTTGAGAAAGTTTTGCAGACCTTAAAGATATTGTGTGCGGGGATGCAGCTCCGTGGTTGGGGTTGCAGACTGAAGATTCAAGGGTCTGGGGGCTCGAATCCCCTAAAAATTACCAAACTTTCACCCAGAGTGAGGGGAGTCGCCAGTACCCTGAATTTCCATTGCTCGATTAGAAAAGCTTCTCAGTGCCCTAAAAAACTACCTTCGAAGAAACAAATACAAATTGCCAAGGGGTTTGCATCCATTACTTGAAAATGCTGTAACATACCTTCTCAATACCAGTAATGTAATCACCAATGCCAGGATGCAGCAGAATGCAGTGCCAGCAATCACACTTGATATGATAAGATATTTACCCTGAGCCGCATCAGCTTCAGTCTCTGAGTAACCTCTTTTCGAATTCTCTATAGGCAAAACTATGCTGCTTTGTGGCAAAGCTGAGCTTGCCTGTAAGATACAACAAGTTTTCCATGTACTTCTAGGTTCAATCTATATTTTCAATGTGCTCAAAATGAAACAATATTGAAATTAGGGAAACGTTTTCGAAACCTTACTCTTTTGATTGGGAAGGTCAGAGGATTTTTCTTAGAGCTGGGCAACTGATGTTTTACTAACAAATAATCTGAGCTTACCAGCTTACCTGTAAGATACAAATAATCCAAATAACGCTAAGATCATATAGAGCAGGCTAATTATTGGTACGTCTTGTACTCTCAAAGCTAGAAATTCATTTTTTTTAACGAGACTGATGTTCACAGATCTGATGGCACAGCAACATACACGGACATGTTTTAGAAAGTTGGTTTTTTCATCTCAAAAACGACTTTCAAGGTTTTGTTTGCAGAGAGACGGTTCGTTTTCAAAGTATTGCTAAAGAGATCCAACTCTGTTAAGGTGGATGTGTCATCATCGATTTCATTTTTTATTTTATCGATATTTATTAACGAGGTACCTTTCAGCAAATGACCAACCTATTAAAAATATTTGCTCAAAAATAATAAGAGAAAAACATAATAATATGAATTGCTGCTCTACCAAGAGGTCGTGTTTGGGTCCTATGAACGGAGTCGTGATGTGCTTGTCTTCTTTCTTTGATCGTTCTGTTTACGATCTTACAGCTTCGCATTTAAGTATCTTATTGATTATAAGCGCTAGTTTAATCATGGGGTAGAATGTTTTTCCTAACAACACGAAAGAGCTTGGGAATAGCTGAATCGTATAACTGTAGGTATTCACTGTTGCTATACATAAAAATGAATCTTTCTACGTACGTATGTCACGCTTCTAGAGATATCTTTGAAAACAGTATTTGTGCCTTCTGTTTGTCGTTGCGAGGTTGTTAATAAAGGCGTCCTGGTAAAGGCATGAAGAGTGCCTCTGTCGACCCTTGTAGATCCAAGGACCACGCTTGTTTTCACGATAACATTGCTATTTTCAGCCGACATTGCAAAAACACTTGAGGTCATCGTTGTGATTGATTCGTGATGTGGCAAAGTCGAACTAAGCAACCTAAATGTGGACAGGCTTGTGTTGAAGAGAGTTGGTCCCAGGGGATAGCCGCTAGTGACCGTTGGTTGAACATGGGAGGTAATGATCTCTTGGCACTTTTGTGCAGATGGGTCCGGAACTGTGCCAACTGGAAAAAACATTGAAGTTGGATATTATTAACTAGTTACTTTTTTTCCTGAAAATGTTGTATTTTTACATGGCGAATACACCAGTAAAAAATGCAAAACAGAAGTTCGGAAAATGTTTTGTTTCGGTGAATAATTGCTGTATAAATCGGTGGAGCGTTGTATTTTTTGTAAAACACATTGCCAAAACTGTTCAAATCTATCGTTCCGCAGATCTGTGATTAATTTAGGATTCCACTTGGTTTCTTGATAAGCTATGACAGAAATTTAGTTGACACCATTAAGGATTTAGTTGTGTTTATAGCCTCTCTATAGACTACTTGATATCATTCAACTTAAAGTTCTTTTAGAGTATCGACTAATTGCAATTCAGGCTCTTAATATACGTTTTTATAATTCTCACTTATGTATGTTCCAGCGACTTTAATAACCATGCACGATTCTTCTTTGACGCTTTGAGCTGCTTGCTTGTTCACGTTGCACTGGAGCTTTAGATACAACAGAAGACCCTTGAATCTTTCGTTAAAACACTCTTTTCCGTTTACCTGCGAAAAAGCAAGGGTGTAAGTTAGTTAGTATAATGCCTACTCATCGATTTCAATGCTTCTGCCTGTTGCATAAAAATTATGTAATGTGCTGTATCTTCTTCGTCTTAGGTGGTATTAACCATCTTCTCGACACATTGATCTGCAAACCAACGACGATGGGTCTGACATTTAAACCAAGTGACACCATATTGTATGGTCTTCAGAATTGGTAAGGAAAGAATTTTATAACATTTACCGTTAGCATGTTATTTTCGAAGGCCAGTTGGCTGTTATTGTTGGATTGCAACTCCTTCCATCCATTCCTCTCATATTCCACGTTGGATATTCTGCAATTTTCCGCTTTTTGACATCCAGATTTGGTGCAATGAAACATTCTTAACCCACTGCTCAAATCTTTCAACGATGTAGCCGTAATTTGGACCAAGCTCCATGGGGCATTCTCACTTATTTGTGCCATAAAGCTGCAGTCTGTATTAAAACGAGACTTATTAAAGAAACTGGCCCAAACAATTTGTAGAATATTACTTACCACTTAAAATATACATTTTTAAGTGTTTCGACATTTACTTAGTTATTCATTTTGCTTGAAATACGATAAATACTTGTTTGATAAGAGAATTTCACAACTATTGAAAAATAGATGCAACTTTATCGATTCAAAAAACCTATTTTGGACACTAAACTGACACTTGGCTAACGAACACGGCATTCCTTAAAGTTTCTTTAAGTAAATTTCTTAAAGTTTCTTACAGTTTCTTCATCGATTCAAATTTTTTTAACAATGTTTGACGTTAGTCGCCTTTACGATTTGCTTGATGCTATGTAGGCCAAAGAAATGCTCTCTTTCGTCCTTGCTAGGATTTAGAGAAATTGCATATAATTTCTTATCTATAAGAACGTAAGCCCTTGCTGTAATGACGCCAAATTAATACTATAAAACTCTATAAACATGACCTAAAGACGAAAAATTGTTTCCTAATAACTTACTCTATGCATGTTGCTTTGAAGTAAAGAAGTGTTGCTGCTGCTTGCAGCGCCCTATTACATTGAGAATGCTTGTCATAGAACTAAGAAAAGCTCTGTGATGAACGCCGATGCCCCACTCAAACTGACTTATATAGATAAAAGGCTGTGCTTTGAGTAACAACTAAAATTGGGAGTTAGGCCCTTAGCTCCATGCTAGGTCACTGAGCTCTCTACGTGTCCTGGGCAGCTAGTTACAAGTTTCATTAGATACATTGAATTTTTAAATATTTATGATCTTATCTTTGATGAACATATCGTTATCAACCATGTGTTCATTACATCGTAAATATATTGCTGAATGAATTTGAATAAAGCACAATACATTTCTTGTGTTATCAGTTTTTCATAATAAGATAATTGAGGCTTAAAAGGCACTGCTTTTGTTTTTGATGAATTCAATTATCAACAATTTTCTAATAACAATAAATTTGAACAATATAAATTGTAATTGAATCTGCACTTTATATGTAAGTTCTGTACTGTCATTTTAGGCAAGATTTACGACTTCAAATATCAAAGTTAGCTGCAACCAAACCGACACATCTATTTTCCTCTTTGTTTAACAACCAGCTAAACTTTTCAACCCACTTAAACGTGTATCAAGAAAGATAAAAACTAGCTATTCCATGTTATCATGACATCTCTCTATGCGATTCAATTAGGGCATTAAATGTCCGGTTTCTGAGCAGCCCACGTTTTTCAGGGAAACATAATGGTTTTATGTGTTTTCGTGGGTTTTATTGCATAAGGAACTATGCTGAGGATATTGCAGCAGGCGCGAAACCCCGCGTTAATGAGCTTATCGTCTGCAATGTTTCTGTAAGTATATTCTCTAATTGGGATTAATAATCTCGAAACGAGAAAAATTTCATATTCTGTCAGTTAAAATTCCCTTTTGTGACTTACTGTGGGAAAAAGTGCAGCAAACGCGATGATGGAATACCTTTAGGAGGATTTGTTACTATAGGGCTATTTTTAGTACAAAATATAGTGTAGCAACATTAAAGTGGGATGTCCTGGTCGATTCTCGTCTCTCCCCTTTCCTCGTCCATTCTCCTTCGCATTTCCTTTCCCCCGTTCTCCATTCTTTGACTCTCTGAGGCTCTGGCACCCAGGGTACCTGGTCTGTTACCACTGTAATAAAGCTTTTTACCTTGTTGTAGATACAAGTCAATGGTTTAGATAAAGTATAATTTAAACACAATTTGGAAATTATCAACCTGGCATAGCCTCTGAAACATTAAAGTGATAAATGTTGTTGCGGTCGTATCAGACTTTTTACCAAAATCAGAAAAAAACCACCAAGATATGACAGAATAAGAACTACGTTATCAATTGATGTTTCATGATTTAAGGAAGATTAGAGTAATGGATGTCCATCTATAACTTGTTCAGAGGTGACGCCCATACATGGACACGTCAATTCCGTCTCGTCAATAAATCCTGATAAGACAAGACGTGACATTGCGCCCCAATCTATTCACCTCGCACTTTCATTTCCTTGATTTAAAGTTTCTAAGTGACATTAAATCTATTTTGTAAATTGTAACACTCAATTGTAACCGTTTTCACTATGTCTTAACTAAAGGTTTCCTTATCCCAATGTTATTTCCCAAATTTAAAGCGAAGATCCGTCTTCAAATAACTTAGTACCACAGGTTGATTACAAGAAATAATCATCGATTTTCTCTGCAGTTGCTACTATCTGTTTCTTATTATTTTCATTATGATTTATTCATATTTTCATTCCAACAAAATTTTGCATCAACTTTTCAACATTGATTATTGAAGTATTTGCGAAACTTTCTGCATCTCTTTCCAAAAAAGGAAGTTCTGCCTTGCTGTGACAGAAGCGATATACGAGTTGAAAATTGAAGTTGTATGGTCTAAAAGGAATTATTTTTCGCTGACTCGAACCCTGTAAATAAATGACCCTGTAAATAAGTAAATAAATAAAATTGAAGACTTGTGTACACGTATTTATATTCTTCAAGGGTTATCGTCATCCGGATGAAGTTTTACTTTCCTAAAGTTAGCTGTAAAAAAATGAGGTATGTCCGATTTTCAAGCCGATCTGCTGAATCTTCAGCGTTTTATAGACTGAATTTTTCTAACAATTGTCAATAATGAACCCTCATAACGTTGATAAGACCCCCTTTGTTTTGTCACGTCGCGAGAAATAATTTCATCTTCAACAGCAAACCAAAACTTTGATTTTTCTGTTTGGTTGTAGAGATCGTTCTGAAGTGTGGCCTCCATTTTGCAGCCCGATATTAAGTTGGGTCTTATTCGGTAAAAAGATACCTTTGTCTTTTAGGAAAGAATTTGTTTTCTTGGTAAATTCGGACCTTTAAGGTGTTAAGCAAATGGTACGAATTAGCGAATGTGCGACTAATCTTGGTTACGACTTGAGCGAAGCATTTTGACTTGATCAAGCTATAATGATTTAATGCGAATTTAAAATCAGTCCGACTTAGTGAAAGTCCGATCTACCCGTGGTACGACTTGAGCGAAGCTTTTTGACTTGATCAAGCTATGATGATTCAATCCGAATTTAAAATCGGTCCGACTTAGTGAAAGTCCGATCTACCTGTGGTACGACTTGAGCGAAGCTTTTTGACTTGATCAAGCTATAATGATTCAATGCGAATTTAAAATCGGTCCAACTTATTGAAAGTCCGATTCTTCCGTATTACAAAGTGAATTAATATTTTTAAGGTAGATATTTGTAGTTTCCTTGAATTTTAGCTTTTTAAAAATTAAAGCAGCAACTCTTACCCTTTGCTATATTGTTTTCAGCCACGCAAGTGCTATTCAGTGTCACATAAGTTTTTCCCGTGTCACATGTACACTGGCAACATTTCGTTGTCTGGCATGTCGATGAATACTTGGCACAGTTCTTCCAGTCGCAGTTTGGATTTGCAAAAGAGTCTCTCTCTCCCGATTTGGCTGGTCTGGTTATGTTTATAGCTAAGGTAAGTCCAAATTTTATCAGTAGCAACAAAATGACGGCTTTCTTCTTCATTGTGATCTGATATTCAAAAGCACGCTCCTCCGCTTCTGATTTCTATTTGGGATCGAAATTCGTCGTAATATGACGATAGCTAACTCAAGCGTTTTTGAATCTTACATATTCATCAAAGATCGCATCGTCACTCCACAAGACAAGACAAATTCACCAAAGCAGGAAATATCTTGCCTTTGTTTTGATGTTGCGACTGCTGATTACCTCATGTTCGTACACTGAGCCCTAAAAACTGCTGACTGTATGTGACCTAATTGATCTGGCAAACGTTGCTGTTAGGTTATTGTACTTTTTTATATCAGCATTTCGGTTGAAGACAAAGAAAAGGCTAAGGTTGGTTCATGTGGCATATTCTTCCCAAACGTGCAGCTAATTGCCCTTCATCATGTTTATGATAGAGATTCTTTGTTGCGAATCATTGTCCAATTTGCGTGCAGTATACGGCCGCGGAATGCAATATTTATGATGTTCTAATGTCTTTTTGTGCAGTTACAGCGCGAAATCGTCATCTGCACTGTCGTGATCAACAGCAGAAATAACAACCACCACAACAATGATAACCAAGCAACGACAACCACAACAACACCTTAGTCCACCGCATCAGTCACAAACCTCCGCTGAATTATGCCTTATCTTCTTCCAGATACACTTTAGCACGCTTTTGCTGCTTGAAACGTGTACCTTTTTGACAAAGGTCACTGTACACAGCCTCATAATTCTGCATTAAACTTTCTAGCAATTTCTTTCAAAGCAATGAATGCATCTTTTCTCTACGCGGATTTACCAGGCTTTCTTTCCCCTTATATCATAATTGGCAAACAACAGCGTCCTGACTTGGCATTTTTAGCAGCATCTGTCGCCAGCAAAGTTTGAAGTTACCTTTATAATAAATCTAGTACATGTTTTCTTTTGGAAATATTCTCGAACAAATGGCATATGCTAAAAATACATTGAGAACCTGGTGTCCTTTGAAAAAAACAAAATACAAGCAAGCAGCTATTTATTTGCTTTTTATGAAATATGAGTTTTTTAGTCACCCTTACTTTTCTTCAACTCTTTAGTTCTTTAAGTTCCTTTTCCCTTCAGTTTCTTCAGTTCTTTAGCTGTAAAGTTCTTTGATTTTCAGTATTTTAGTTCCTTAGTTCTTGAATTCTTTAGTCGTACAGTTCTTTTTTTCTTTAGTTCTTTAGTTCTTGGTTCTTAAGTTCTTTAAATCTTTAATTCTTTAGTTCTTGAGTTTTCATAGTGTATGTTCAGTTCAGGTTGTGGGATACATAACATATTTTTTATCTGCCGGCTCTTGCCGATTTCTTGCGCAACTTTACTTAAGATGCGCTCGCTTAGTTTCTATTTCTCAACATCATATTTGCCAAGATAAATCAATTTTGCCCAGACATTTCTCTATTTTGAAATGAGGCTCTGAATTAATCATTTGTCGTACAGAATTCATAGTTGCTTCCTAACGGGTCTGCTCCCAGACATAGTCTTGATAAATTGTTCAAACACGTTCGTACTGTTATTGTTTTGACTTTAGTTTTCATGTGTACTATGCATATATTGCGAAACATTCAGTAATTGCAACGCAGCCTGCCAAAGGATATGCCATGTTTAAATTGAGAGCAATGCGCCTAAAGAACAACATCATCCCTGCCTCTTAGTGAAATTACAGTTATTTGTGTTTGACGAAACGCCATTGTTTTATTTAGTGAAATTTTTAATAATTCGCTCTTAAAATGACTTTAAACTGACCAATTTCTCAAAAGTGAATCTTTGGAGTCTATCATGGGGATAGGGACCGAGTTTCACGGCTAAACGTTTACACGGTCTATCATATAAGGTCGAAGATACACCCCATATCCCTCCCTCATTTTAAGTTCGACCAGATGTATTTTATCCTAAAAAGAGATAACAGTCCACTTTGAGCTGCAATTCTCAATACCATTTGTCAAGTATTGTAGCCACGAGAATAGAAAAATCCTTTCACAAAAAAGATTATCTTTGCTTTATAATAATTTCACAAATTTCTTTAGAACCATTCTGTTATACCTATGGAATAAAATCTAGAACTTGCTTCCTTCTGGAAAATTCTCGAACACATTGCACATGCTCAAAATACATTGAATTATTTGTACGTTTCAGTGAATCATTTCTTACTTATTTTTTGCTTTTAAATTCAAAGCCCAACGCCGCACTCGCAAGCAAATTTGATTGTGCCAATAATTATATCTGTGGTTTTTATCATTTGAAAGAATTTCTAAATCCAAATCAAATACTGCAAACTTTTTCGCAAGCCTGTGAATTCATTTACGTTTAATTTTCTTTTTTGGCAAAAACTATTTTTTTAAGCAATCACGATATTTTGATGGTTGGACACTTGATACATTTTTATGAGTTGACAAAAGAAATGCAAAGAAGATCATTAATTTTTTTCAAATTCACCTCTTGTCTTTTCCAAATTATTACATTATTTGTTGATTATGACATTTCCTAATGTAAATTCCTAATGTTTCATACTGAGAGTAGCCTAAATCACCCAAGTCTAATAGTACACAAATCCTTAATCACCAAAACTTGAACGTTTCTTTGAAAAAAGCAAACGTTTCACTGAATTTTGTCTATTTAGCAACAATGCACGAGCATTGGAATTCCAACAGAAGAACTATAATACAGGCCTCCCAGCCAGTCCTAAATTGCTAAAAATCCTCAAATTTAGTCATTTTTGTCAAAAATCGTAAAATATTCCTAAAATCTATCAAAAAATTTAGTTAACTTTGCCATTTTAGATTTTAGCACCAAGTATAGTGGAAGTAGACAAGGAACATTGTCATTTTTTTGGAAATCTTATTGAGATCAACGATACAAAACCTAAAACTGTCCTCAATTGTTCTTCTTCTTTTCTTCTAATTGTCCCATTTATTTTTCAAGATTGCAGATAGTCTTTGCGTCTTGCCTATAATGACTATGAATCAAACTTTCAAACTCTTGTTGAAAAAGGCAACTCGACGTCTATCCATGATAAAAATCTGCAGTTGCTTCTTACAGAAATATATAAAACTTCACGTAATTTCAAACCCAGGTGTGAAATAAAATAATTACTGAACTGAAAACGTGCTATAATCTCAAAAACATATCCCGAATATCGCTATCAAAACCAAAAAAAAATTGTTATGGTTATAGAAAGTGCAACCTTTATGGGATCCAAGCTCTGTCAAAAGCTTACAGATGACAAAAGAACACCTTCTAGCCTCGCAGTATTTAAGAAAAAGATTAAAACTTGGAAAGATACAAAATGAAAATGCAGGCTATGCAAACCTTACGTTGCGCAGTTTGGATTCTTGAAATAGTCATCAAATAATTGTATATTTTTGTCTAATGAGTCATCCTTTTAATTTTGTACATTTCCTATATTATTTGATCCATTCATTGTAATTAATTTTAGATTTGCAAATTTAGTATAAATAGTAGGCTTTAATTAGCTGTTATATTAGCTAAAAAATTTGCTTCGCCTACTGTAAATGATTTTATAATATTAATAATAATGATAATAATAATGCTGGGAGGCTTTAATACTTTTTAAAATAAAAAGGCTAATAGCTTTGTCAAGTTGATAAGTAAAATTTTTCCACAGTAGTCATGTCTTATACCCAACCTCCAAGAGATAAAGCAAATCATTCTGTTACACAGAATTTCAAATCATAGAACTTTGATAAGCAATAGTAGATTTCCAAGGTACTCTGGGATGGTATTGGTATTTTCCTGCGCTGGGTTCAAGAGGGGAAAGCGTTTTAAATGGGATGCGGGTTTTCAATGAGATGCAAAGAGTCTTGGTTTGGGCTTACTCTGCGCACCCCATCCCAAGAAGGTGTATCTTCGTGATAATATATAAAAAATATAGAATTTAAATGATTGTCAAGAATGAATTTTTCTTGGTAACTACAGAAAGAGCTGAAATTTTATTATATGTTCACCTCGGTTACAAACTAAAACAGTTATCAGGGCCCCTGTTAAATAAATAGATAGCTTGTTAAATAAATGCAATAAAGATCACATTGAGCAAAGTAAAGAGAGCAACCCTAACAAAGTCAAAAAATTATTGAACAGCCTTGGAAGAAAACATTGAATTTTTAATAGAAACTCTTCAAAAAGCTGGAGGGGGCAATCAAGGGGCAAAGAAAATTTCTTTGAAGCCATGCCAGCCCTTCCCCCCCCCCCCCCCCCCCTAGGAACGCCACTTTGTGCATTCCTCTATTTGACCAGTGAACAATATTCTTGCTACGGTACTGCGTATGATCACCAACAAAGGATCCCCGAACTGCGTATTCTAATTTACATTAGCAAATGTCCTAAATGCAATTTAAATCTCTTCATGTGACGTTAAGCACTTTCATATTCCTTCGAACCTCGGTTGAGACAAGTACTGAAAGGCTAACTAATTAATTTGCCATATTGTCTAAATGAGAAATTTGGCTATTTGTACTAATACCTAGTATGGTACTGATATTTAAGAAGCATAAAGCTACTGTTTGCTTGGGTAGATGGTATAACGCTGCAGCTCAAACATTTTAGGAAGCATAACGCTGTTATACCGCGTTTACCCCTCCACCACACCCAGGGACGAAACTACCCGGGGGGGGGTGTGGGGGGGGGGTGTGACACCCCCCCAATCCAAAAAATAGTCGATTTCGTAGGGCAATCGAAGATTTCGCAGGGCACCAAGAAGAGCTTTATTGCCACGCAGAAATGCCACCTCTGAAGTTCGTAAAGAGCCGTTCAAGAATTTTGAAATGGAAATATCGTATTTGTTATGAACCTCCCTTCCTGACATTGCATTTTAGAGAACGAAACAGGTATGTAAGGAAAAGCTCCGTTATTTGCAAAGCGAAAGCATTTCTTGCCAAAAGTCATAGCCAATGGATGCAATGATTGATGCATATGTTTATGAGGGCAAGGTTGAGTTATGCAAATTAATTTAAGTTGTAAACTATTTTCATGACAAGCACGGCGTCACTGGGGGGGGGATAAGGGGCTGAAGTCCCTCACTTTGGTCAAGATAGGAATTTTTTATCATTTTTTCTATTATCTTTTAACAGTGCATGAACTAAAAAACATAATAAATCTTTAAGATACCAATTTTGTTTCATCTAATTGCTAACTTTTTCACGTATATTTTTATTATTTTTCTTTTATTTGCATTAATTCAGTAAATCATTTTCTGTATCATTACAATGTTTTAATTTTGGATGTGTAAACATGGCCTTCTTGATACAAGAAACTGCACATTTCTGTTCAGGAAAAAAAATTCTCCCAATCAAAACAACATCTTCCTCTGTCATTCACAACTACGTGCAATCTGAAACGAAAGGTTGCCGTTTCTTTCCTTCCCCAACGTCTAACACTAGAGTTTTAGCATGACATCCCCCTCCCGTTTTTTCCCAATTAACAATAATATTTTCAATAAACAATCAATTCTTTTAGCACAATAGTATTTTGCTAAATTTTTGTCTGAAAGATGCTTTTTAGCCCTTTTTACAAGGTATAATTTCAAAAAATTTCTTCACGTCGGACCCAACCATGGTGGGTCCTCCTACCTCACTAAACTCGACTCTTAGCCCCACTGGGTTAAATTTCGTTGCGCTGTTTACATCATGTAACCACCCCCCCACCCCCCCCAATTAGCTGTTTATTAGCTTAATTTTGCAAACCAACATTAAATGAAGTGAATATAAAAAAAATATACGCTCACGTAGAGAAATATAAATTTCATAGGCAATGAAGTTTCAAGTTTGTTTTTTTTGCTTAGAGATTTGTCCTTGGTAAAGACCAGTGTACACTGGTAAAGCTTTCACTAGTAACCTATAGACAAACCGTTGCTACGAGGTCTGCAGGGCACCAGTCAGTTTTGCAGGGCAGAAACCCTTTTCACCCCCCAAAACTATTGGCCAAGTTACGCCCCTGACCACACCACCGATGCTGAGTAGCTTGCTTACAGGAGCAAAACATGCCTTGAGCACACGTACACCTTTAAACCGCATTTCTATGTTTTCACTACGTCATCCGTTAACATTTCTTTACATTTTTTTGCTTCCGTCTCGACCCAGATCGACCCAGATCCCTTCGAACTAGCATTTGTATGCCAGATTTCTGCGGCTTTGCGGTATGTGTTAAAAGAGATGGCAAATAACATAATGCAGCTCAAAGTTGACGTTTAAAGACTTTTTGGTTCCTTTATTAGGACTTAATTAAACATTTTTAATTATGAAAAGACATGCCATATGACCCAAAGGCGAATCGTTATTGTTCTAAAGCATTTATTTCTCCTCATTAAGTAGGTAATTTTGAAGCCCATTTGACGCCTACATCAACAGACAATGGGACTTGCTTGGAATTGCATTGTAATTTTCAATACTTCGTTGTTGATTTCGTGTATCGTCGAACGCAAATATATTGGATAAACAAGGAAGTACGGTATTTCATGTACGATTTGAAAGTAGATGATACGATAAAGGATAAATAATATGGTCTATGTCGGGTATTAGTTCTCTGGATCATATATGAATCAGCAGCGATTGTTGCGAGACTATTGGTGGCTTGTTTGGTGTCATTAAAACTTTTATAGTCTGCTAAGGAATCGGCGTTAAAAGTGTTGTTAAATTTTTATTATTCTCGAGATATTCGTAAAAATCGGCGAACAAAATCTTGGAATACTCAATGACAGCATGCGCTTTAAAGACTTGACGTCCGTTCTGTAGATTCGAGTCAAAGTCAAGACAGTTGAAAAAGGATAGAACTGCGAGGTAAACAATTACGTCATCAACTTTATTGTGCTTCGTAATCTTAATATTTACATGCTCCAGATCTGAATGGCTTGGTCGTAAAATTGTTTCATGGGAATGCTTTCACCTTAGCGACTTTTCTGCAAATTAAACATTGACTAAAAAATATCATTTTGCACCGAAATATTTTATGCTTTTTGTTTGCATTCCTTTGCATCGAGCATCTAGACTGCTGCTTGATTACGTCAGCTTCACGTTGCGTTCTTTTGACCTGTTGAAAAAAATTAATAATGTATGTTTATATTTTGTAGGTTCTAGCTTCAGAAAGAAGCAAGTTGCATATCTGTAGATAAATCATCCTCAAAATGCAGTGCTGGTTTATCTATCTTTTGGTTATTTCACTAATTGGGAAGAACTCTAGTGCCCAGATCGTCACTCGATACATAGGGACAGTTTCCGGTGTACCGGTCACGGATAGGTTTCCGAACCCGGATGCTACATGTGCTAGGAATGGTTGCGCCCAGGCAAACGGATACAAAGAGTGCCTTGATTGTTGCTATTGTCGCTGCAATGATGGTTCCTACTGGTCAGCTGCAAAGACATGCATGGACGATGATACAATTGCAAAAGGTAAGAGTAGAGTACTACTTTGCATGTCAAATGCCAGTCAAAGGTTATGTCCATTGCAATGGCATAACCACATTCTTCACACTGAGAGGGCCTGACTACGCTATAGATTTATGCTTTATTGCAGCTTAAAAAAGTTAACTTGGCCAAGATATAAAAGTATTAAGTCTCCCAAACAAATCCTGTCACCGACCCCCACGCATCTTGAAACACCCCTACAGCCTTTCAAATATCTAACACCCTTGCAAACACATCACAACACAACCAAAGCCCACCTCGATCCCAGAACACCCAGCATACACACCCCTGCCAACACCCAATATTAAAGCCTCTACCAACACCCAGAATTCACACCCCTGCCAACACCCAGCATTCAAACTCCTGCCAACACCCAGCATTCAAACCCCTGCCAACACCCAGAATTCAAACCCTTGCCAACACCCAGCATTCAAACCCCTGCCAACACCCAGCATTCACACCCCTGCCAACACCCAGCATTCAAACCCCTACCAACACCCAGCATTCGAACCCCTACTAACACCCAGCATTCAAACCCCTGCCAACATCCAGCATTCAAGCCCCTGTCAACGCCCACCCCACACCCACTACCAACGTCCAACCCACACACCACTGCCAGCGCCCATTCCAACACACCCCTACTATCGCCCTCCCCTCACACAATTGCCGGCCCAGCCATCGCACCCCTTTCAACACCAACCTCTATTACCCTGTCAATTAGATTTTCTATTTGCACTAGAATTGCAGCTAACAGATTTTATTCATATCTTTGCAGATTGTGAGCTGGTACTTGGAGCCAATGCGTACAAAGGCTACGTAGTTGCTACGTCATCAGAAAAACTGGGAAATGGAGAGACGATTGCCTATTGTTTAAACAGTTGGGACCAGTGTACGACAAAAGTAGATAAATGCGTTGTAAATAGAGAAAGAACGTTTTATGAAAGTAATGGATGGAAGATATTGTGGCCTAATTCTTCAGATGTTGATTTTAAAATTGAGAGAAAGCCGGGCTCCAGTAATATTCTGTTGGTAAGAATTTGTTTTGTCCAAAACACTGTGAATTGCAGTTTGTAAGACTCGTTGAATAAATCAATAGATTTTCGCTCTTGTGTATATTTCATTATTCGATCGTCTTCCTGGTTGAAATATTTCGTAGTTCTAAATTACTGTTATTTTAAAGATGTCTTTAAAATAACAGTAATTTAGAACTACCAAATATTTCATAACTGTGATGTGTCATCATTAATTATATCACTGCTTTTCTTAATATTTGGCTTGCTTCCTTTATGCAGTGGAAAAAGGAGAACTGCGCAGCGTCAAAATACGATGGGTTGCTGGTGTCACTTGGGATCACTTGCATTGCCAGTGGGAGAAGTGTCCAATCTTGTCTTGCGTTGAAGGTGTCAGGGAGCTATCAAAGTATGTAGTGTAGTTGGTCATATACGTGTATCATCTTAAGATATATGCACGCCTTACTTTGAACCCAGGCTTTACTTAACATCTGCTTACTCTCTAAAAGTTGCTATAGGGGGGGGGGGGGGTGTTTGGCTTCAAACAACGGCGAAATAAAATGGTAACTATCATTTTATCAGCTAGAAAAATGCTTCTTTCTTGCAGACAAGCCCCTTCTTTCGAATTGTGCATTGGATTCGTCCTAAATTTTTATGCGAAGGGGCAGGAAAAAGAGGTGTATTACCTCTTTGTATTTAGAAGAATACAGTTGCCTTTGTTAGCCAGGGGATGTTTATTGATTTGAAAATGTTTTTCTTTCCATCGATTTAAATGTTTATTATCTAGTTGAAAGTAAACCACTGTTACGAACAAACTGTTCTAAACCAACAACAACAGAGGTAACACAAACAACATCAAGTACAAAAAAGGTATCAACAACACCTAATGCAACGACACTACAAGAAACAACAACAGCAGCAACTACAACAACAGCAAAGCCTTCAACCAAAGAAGAATTAACAACAAAAGAAACGTCAGGCAGACCTACCTCAAATTTAATGACGTCATCCACCCGGAGGCCTTTAACTTGGACGAAATTTTCCACAGAGAGAGTAAAGCCAAACGTCACCTTATCTTCTCGTACGGTATGTATCTGTAGATTTTCGATTTGTCGATCACAAAATTTCTGATGCCCTGTCAGTTCAATCCCCAATTTCCATCTGATTTTATTAAATCCCAGGTTCGTTTGCAATCGGAAATTTATGCAATTTTTAAACGTTGATACTTCTTCATGTATTGGAAAAAACCTTGCTATTAGATAAACTTTATTCATGAGTTTATACTGGATTTGTTCTACGACAGTTATCACTTGCAACCCCCTTGCGTTTGTAAATAATGAAGCAGACAAATTTACCACTTCATCACTAGCCAGGAGACGCACAAACAAAATATTGGTATATAGGTCAGTGATATATAGTTATGCTATATAGGTCATTGAGAATGGGAAGGCCCCCTCTTGTCTTATTCTCACCGACGTTTTCTGTCTCTTTGATAACCCGTGTGCACCTCCCCTCCATTACTCATTGATTCAGCAGCCTTAGGCGCATCATATTGCTGTCCTTAATCTTGGTTCCTTATTTTTACAATCAGATTCGCAATAATTCATTAACACCGGCAAATACTAAAGCTACTCTAATTTCTACAACACCACCAAATGGTTTTAGAGAAGAAAGAAAATCAGATACAAACCCGAAGAATGTCGTCATCGCAGCCGCTAGCCTTTCATCTGCTGCGCTTTTATTGATCGTTTTTGTGGCTGTTGCTGTTTGCAGTTTCATGAAACGAAGGTATTTGGAAAGCTGCTTCATTTGCATTAAATTAAGTATGAAGATCATTTGCTCTTTCAGTTTATTATTTCATTGAGATGAACTGTGTGTATTTTGCTGTCTACTGTGTAACGTTGCTGCATAATATAATGCTTAGTAGTGTACTGTACTGTAATGCACTGTACTTTACTGTTCTGTACTGTACTGTACTCTACTCTACTCTACTCTACTCTACTCTACTCTACTCTACTCTACTCTACTCTACTCTACTCTACTCTACTCTACTCTACTCTACTCTACTCTACTCTACTCTACTCTACTCTACTCTACTCTACTCTACTCTACTCTACTCTACTCTACTCTACTCCACTCTACTCTACTCTACTCTACTCTACTCTACTCTACTCTACTCTACTCTACTCTACTCTACTCTACTCTACTCTACTCTACTCTACTCTACTCTACTCTACTCTACTCTACTGCTCTGTATTGTGTTGTATTGTATTGTATTGTATTGTATTGTATTGTATTGTATTGTATTGTATTTTATTGTATTGTATTGTATTGTACTTAACTATACGGTAGTGTACTGTTTTGTACTCAAACTGTACTAAGTTGCCTTCTATTGCACTGGGCTTTTTTGCATCGTGTATCGAATTACGTTTTACGTTTATTGCCTTTATTGTTTTGCATTTCGAAAACAGAATTTTTTTGGTGAGGTAAGTCCAGGGAGTTTTCCAAGCTAAATATGGCGTCCTTTTTATATTTTATTTGTCCATTGCTCCTTTTCATGACAGATACGAAACGTCAGTTATTTCAAGTAGCTACAAGCAGACAAATAACCTTTTCAAAATTACTTTTGACCGCTATCTGAATCCATGAACTGACTTTGGCTTTTTAATATCGAGATCCAGTGGGAAAAACTGGCTTTCCATTCTACGATATGGGATTTTTAGTCTGATGGCGCCGGTAAATAACGAAGGAATGTTTACTGAATTGATCTTTTATAATTCATTTTGAGTTGTATCTCCAAAACACTTTGCTGCAAACACAAGGAGTATAGAACGCGCTAGCAAATGAGGACAACTTTTGCCGAAAGCACACTCAGATGCTCCTCTTTGCCGACCTTATTTGGGGAGCCAGGGCATTTGTTCCACAGAAACGGTTCATGATGTCTGCCGAAGGTCATGTTAAATCAGGCCAAATCTGCTATATTGACAGAGGCATTCCTTCCTTCCATGTTTACTATATCAAAGATTAGATCACTATTGTGAATCTATTAGACAGTTCACATTCAAAGTTTTTTACCCAGCATAATTTCGGGGTTAATAAATACAATTTCGGTATTTCACAAATGAGAACTGTAAATTTTTGAAAATGCTTTGACTACAGGATGTTTCACAAACTGTTAACAGGATCTTCAAAAATTATAGAATCGAACGTTCCGGATTTTGTCAACAATTTTTCATGTAGTGTTTTCTTTATTTGTGTCAAGCGAAATTGGATGAATGACTTGCAAATTTTTCCTCTTCATGTTGGTGTGCATTTGTTAATTACCTGTAGTGGTTTGTATTTTCATTCCTATATATGTAAATGACCATTGGAGTTACCAGTGCATTCGATTAATCACGCGCGCAATGCCTAAATGCCATAATTGTCTTCCCTTATCAATACAGTTTCCTTCCGCGAAGATAGGAAGTATTGTGCCTACTTGGTCTCCACGCCCAAACCATTCTGCGTACCAAAATCACTCTTAACGATCGCCCGCATTATTGACATCAGAGAAATTGCATAAAAGTATGATGCTATGCACAACAGAAGTATTGAGGACCGCAATGGTTACCTCATCTAGGGACCCGTTGATCTAACATGGTTTTAAAGGGGTTTGTTTTCCTAAAGAAGGAGCAAGTCAACAGAGTAAAGCGAAATTGTCGAAAGATTCTGAGTTTTGAGTTTCTAAACTTACAGTTTTAAGTTCTTAATGTTAGCAGTAGAACTCTCAATGTAGCCGAATTAGAGGCCTGGATCCAAGAGGCAGACGGTATCGATTTGCATCTCGGTACTGTGCAAGATAAGATATTCATTTTGCTGAAATTTCTTATATTAACCTGATCCATTATTAAACCAAGTTTTTCTGCAATCAATGATAAAACCTTCATTCTTTTTTAGAAGAAACTCTGCTGCTGGTCACAAGAAGTTCACCAGTCAAAATGGTTTGTTAACTTTTATGTTCTCTCCATGAAGACATTGCAAAAGTAAAAAAAATAATATAGATAATTATGGGCTACTTTTTGGCAATCTCTCCCCCTCAGAGCCCCTTAGTTCTTTACCCCTGATTGTTTCTGATGTATTTTTTCAGATTTGTTCTGCTAATATAAACACAGCAAGTTATTCTTTTGCTTTTAAGTGCGACCAGTGTGAAAGGGCATTTGTTATTTTCCTTTGCATCGTTATATCTTTTATATTAATTATCAACTTCTTGCTATTTTCTTTCAAGAACTGGTTATATCAGACCCTCTTCCACTGAGTGTGAGTTTTTCATTATCTTTTTATAACCCAACCTTGAAGCATTTATCTTATCAGAAAGGAAGATACTTTCAGGTAGCAGAAAGCCATGGTGTAAATTTCATTCGAATTTCACTCTATAGGCCCTGTTATTAAGATATTCTATTAGACGTGCTATGATGAGACGTTCTGTTTATGACGCAATCCCTGAAAGCACTGCCGAAGATATTGAAGGAAAGTTGACACATTAGATTTTCCATCGGATATTCCATCATGTGTCATCAGATATTCGCGTTTTTGATTCTGTTTAGCAAGGTTTTAGAATTTGTGTACAATTACACGAAGAGTTTTTCATGAGACGGACTTATTGGGTGCTGATAAATCGAGACATGGGGAGGAAAAGGTTCTGTGACCCACTTGCATTTTACCAACATCTATGATATAATACAAAAAACTTTCAAATATAAATGCTAGTTTATTTACACCCAGAGAAAATTATAATTGCAACTCAGCATTATTTACTGTACAGTGGGAATGAACTCGGCTGATGCTCGGATTTTGCGTCTGTATTCCTCAGATTTACATAAAATTGAGTGGATTTGAGTATATTCCCAACTTGCTTAGATATTCGATATTATAAAGACGCTATTTCAGGAATAGAGCCATAAAATCTAGGAAGAAAATCCAGTAGTGTAACGTCGCCTTTGTGAGGTTCAAGAGAGAGACCGGAGTTTTGGCTTGACTGTAGGTTGTCCTAGCCAAACACACGTATTTGAATCACTTGCTGCATTCCCATTGTAAACATTATAAGAAGTACAAACATTATATAAATATACTACTTATATATACTAGCTTGCGTGTCGATCAATATAATGTGACAATGTAACTTGAAAATAACTTGAAATTGTACGAGAAAAGTAGGCAAATTTAAATTATATGTATGTTCTCCCTAGACCTCAACAGCTGTTTTAGAAGATGGATCAAATGATGACAATAATTCTAGATTTTGGACAATCAATGGAGATGGAGAGTTTACTGTTGCCAGGAGACCTCCATTGTATTCGCTTCGCTTGAAGCGTGAGGCTCGTAGCCTCGACGAAGGCGTTTATGACGAGCCAATCACAGACAGGAAGAATTCTTGTAATAAATTATATGCTGTCGTCAGTAAGTAGCCTGGACCACGTCAAAAATACTTTTATGATAAAACTGTGTTTTCTAAATCAGTCAATTTGGGCTTTATTAGCGAAAATGATGTGGTCGCATTTGCCCCTTTCCCTCAGTGTTCAGAGTCGCGGATTATACATCTAAGGGTCTGGTGTTCGAGTCCCTGATATGACCAAACTTTCACTTAGAGAGTGAGGAGAGTCTCCAGCTCTCTGCAATTACAGGCGTAGGAATCAGGTGTGGTCCTCTAATTTTTCAGATAAAAAGAACAGACAAGAAAAGACTAGTGGTGACCTTGGTGACATCATAGAAAGAGTTCCTGACCCACAGCCTTCTTTGCCTTCCGATGCCGCACATCGTGATGGAGCAAGTACTCAACTGCCGAATCGCAATGAACCCATTTATGATGAACCAGACATTGTAGTCAGTAATCCAGCTGTCTCAGAACAAAGTAACTCACATTCGAACGAGCCAATCTACATGCTATACGAGCCGTTCCCTGACAACCATGACACACCATAGTTCATTCACGTGTACTGTTCTAAACAGAATGTATCATATCAAATAGTTTGTCAAGCCAATGTTTATCAGCTGTTCCCGGAGAACCATGACATTTAATAACTATCTTTCTTGATTCACATGTACAAAAACATTGTATAGAATAGTTTATCATATTAGAAATACTATACTTATTATTCTGGTTATTTTTTGTCCTTTCATCTAAATATATTGATTAATAAGCGTTATGTCCACCATGCTTCCAGCTGCAAAAATATGTCAAACGTTGTGACTTAGGGGCTCAAAGATTTCTCTCTTTCTTGCATCTCAATTACAATATGAAAACATCTTCTGCCTCAGTTTAACCAAAGATTAAGATCATTTGGTTTGAGATTTCAATTTCAACAGATAAATCCATAGGATAGAACAAAACCTTTCCCTGAAAAGCAACGCAACAAGGTAAGAATATTTGCGATACTTGAAATATTTATTTTGGTTCAAGTACTAATTTAACCTACGATGCTGTTTCAGTAAATCGTAATTTAGCGTATTGTCCCATTTCGTTTTTAGAATCAAGTAATATTTCAATCAAGAATCAAGGAAACCTTTGTTTTGAAGTCCTGTATACATCTAGTCAATATGTTTAAATCTCGGATTTTTTCTGTGAGTTCTAGAATAATTTGAATCTTCACGGAATTTTAGCCAATAACTACAGTATCCACATCATTAGATGCAGTAACGAATAAGGCAGCTGCTTGGTGGTGATAAAATGTGATGGATGAAAATATTTGACGTATTTATAAAATCGCCAAATCTTCGCATTTGCTAATCTGTACCATGATTAATTTGTACTTAGAATTCCTTTGCCAAAGAACACGAAATTGAAAAGAACAGTAGCGAGAAGAGAACTCCTTCCTCTGGAGCTATCGAGTGCCTATTTTGTTAAAAGCAACAGAATTCTAAGCAGAATTAACAGGTAATGGTATAGATGCTGTAGTTAATGTACATTAGACAATGACCTGATTCTAAATCGAATCCTTTGGATCATTGATGATTTAAGAAACATCGTTTGATCATGTCGATTCATGTTTGGTAATTTTGACTTCTATTCATTCAATTCCTTGCGTCTATACACCAAAAGCGTATACCTTTATATCTATGAATTTCAAGCAAAGATTTTTCCATTCAAGCTTTTCCGAACAAGGGAAAACCCCAAGATATCCCAATTTACGAATCAAAGCGAATTTCTAATTTTAAACGCAGTTTCTCTAGGAAAATGCAAAATGCACCAGTTTCTCTCAGCGTTGAAAGTTTCAAAATTGATTGATTGATGGCTCTATTCACATCTCATACTGATTTTGGTTTGCCTAATTGTTATGTCGTTGTGTGATTTTATTTGCTACTTATAACCACTTTGGTTCTGTAGCGGTTCTAGGCTCTCACCTGCGTCATATAGTAACTCGTTCAGAAATATTCTATCGTCATCATTTTAATACATATACCAAGATATTCTAATGTCACAGTCACTTATTTCAGATATGAATGAGCATAAGGGCGTTAAATTGGGTGGATCACGTCAAGTGAATTATTTATTTTCTATCATTTTGAGTTATGTAGTGAAAACAAAACTTAAGTTAAAACTCGTGTTGATAAGGCTTGAAATTTGAAGAGAAAATCACAGAAAACATGTTCTAGCTCCTCAAGTTGATAAATACCCAGAAATAAATTCAATCGAAATTCGCTTTGCCTTGATCTTGATGCTTATCAAATGCATCTGTATCATTTAAAAAGTCACTCAGAAATTGCAAGACAAAGGATCAAAATAGACATTGCCAGTCTTTAACAATTTACGACACCGGAATAGTATACAATTTTTGCTTACAAAAATTACAAAAAACTTTGATACGTTATTAGGCAAAACTAGCCTCTCTGTTTTCAAATGCAGTCATTAACGATGTGCAGATTACTTTGAAAACATGGAATAATTTATAAAATTACTATCCAATTTTTGTTTCTTTTAAATCCTCAAAGGATTACCTAAAGAAGTAGTTATGCAAGTCTGTAATCCTGAAAGTGTGACAACATCGAATTCCATGAAATCTTCTTTATTTCTGCCCTTTGCTATCATTTGTTTTCTATTGTATCTTTCCAGAGTGAATTTTTTCATTAAAACTTAATTTCTCGTTGATTCATATAATCTTTACTATTATTTTTTCTTTGGCAAACAGACAAGTAGATGCGTCAAACAAGCCACGCATTCATGAATTACCTGCATGCCATATTATATGTCCCGCGTATTAGTGCATGGGCCTTTTCTTGAGGAATACAGTATAATTTGTTGTTGTCAAGTATTAACTCTCTGTTACAATCAGTATAATGTGTTGTCAATCTTCCTTAAATTTTTCTTGCGATTAGCTTCATGACCCTAGGGGTATTCTACGGGGAACGAGAGGGGGAAGCACTTTCGAAGGGCTTTGCGATTTTTCCTCAACTTTAGATTGTTCTATGTCACTGTCATCACTATCCCATACATTCTCATACGACACGCTGCTAGTGTCGCTCTCGTCCTCTTCGCTGCCGTTAATAACTCTTCGGTTGTTGCGATAAGCGAAGTTTATGTTCTCGTAATCATCATCTCCGCTATCGTTTTCGCCAGATTCTTTTGCGTCGCCTTCAAGCATTGATTCGTCAACGTTCGTGTATATATGGCTACCGTTATCCGAGAGTTCATCCACGTTGCTGTAGATATGATCCGAATCGCTTTCGTCGATTCCTTTAACGTTATCGTAAATCGGACCGTCATCATCAGTTTCGTTGCCCTTCACATTCTCGTAAATGTCGTCGCAAATGTCATCGTAGTCGTCGCTGTCGCTATCGTTGCCCTTTTCTTTAATCCCATTCAATGATTTTACTTGGTCAGGTGATGAACTGTCCAAAAGTCCATTGCACTTTGTTTCGGCCAATGTTGGCGTGGACGAAGTGTCGTTTTCAGGTATCTCTTGATCGGTACTCTCCTTTTCTTTGGAATCAACATCCTGCTGCAGCATTTCTTTAACAGCTTTCTCTTTCCTCAAGGCGTTATCACGATTTCCAATCCAGTCTTCTGAAAATCGCCCTGCAGATCGAATCATAGGTTTAGGTCAAAAGTAATACCCCAAATGTGTGGTCGAGTGCCCCTTGGAATTAAGCATACAATGAATTTAGCATAGCATAGCTAAAAAAGCTATCATCTGTGTTCAAATATTTGAAATGAATAAAATACAGTTACAAGGACTGCTTAACAGTTACAATATTTTTAGAAGCATTTAACTGCTTATATTAATATTTTGAGATCTGATGCTTATAACCAATAATGCTTTGCAGAAGTGTTCATAACGAGGTACACCTGAAAAAAGCCTTGAATCTTTGTAGAGAAGAAGATTTGATTCTGATCAGCCTCATTTCCTTTTACCCAGCATTTTCTTTTACTTCGAATTCCTAAGTATCCTCCATTCAAGTTATTTTATCATCGTGGGTTTGGTGTTCCTTCCTTTTTTGTAACAGTTTTGCCACCATACACCTGTGTCTCCGCCCTCTCTCCTCCTCCTCAATCCTTTCTTTCACCTCAATAAAATTACAGGCAAGGAAATAGAACTAACGCAGAGTTAGCATAACTTTTAAAATAATTTTAAATCGAACTTACTTTTTGCGTTGTGTTCCTTTATACTCGTCTGCGGCAAGTACAGATCTGATGTCGACTTTCGCATTGGTATTGACAGAATGCTGTTGCTCCCTTGGTAGCCCTTGTTCGTCAAGCCGTTGACCATCTTTGTTCCGTTCGAGCTGGTCTCACATGCTGCCTTCTGTACCTCTACAGTCCCATTCTCTTGTGCCAAAGGGACTGGAGCGGATACGACAGTTGGTGTAACTTGCACCTTCACGTTTTCATCTTGTGGTATCGGACTCTGAAATTTCAATTGATCATTTGAAGGTCGAAATTTTTTGTATCCTGAGCTTGATGAGAAAGTGTATTGGACCCATCAATCGGAAATATTAGTTTAAATTTGTAACCATCTCTACCTATTTCTATCGACTTTAAATTTTCACAGTGTAGTTTCAATCTTGGTAAATTATTAGCTTAGGAAGGTGCACGAATTCCCTTTTAATTTACATAGTCTTTTGACGCTTTCGAAAAAATTATCTGGTTTATCTATCTGCGAAAAATATTTATTCTCGTTTTATTTCATCTGCTAGGCAAAACCCAACCAAAAAATTTGACTGAGTCTAGGGATAGTCGTGGTGCACCCTCAAATACTCGTAAGATAATCACAGAACACTCCCGTATGAATAAAAGATTACACCAACAATAACAGTCAAATTAAATAAATTTAGCACATCTAACTGTTACAAATGAATTTCAAATTTATTGTGATTTATCCAAAATAAAGCAGACTTGCACTTTCAGTAGTTTCTCGACGAAAAGGCTGAAGAACAAATGTAATCCCTGAGGTATTATATATATATAGAAGCCCAATAAAATATTAATTGCTCAAGAATCAATAGAAATTACATTAATATTGAATACTGAGAATTAATTTTTTGTAATTATCAGGTGTTTTATGTTGTTTATTCCCACAATTACCACGTGAATCTCTTTGCTTTTCTCATTAAGGCCTAATTACGTTATATTTGCTTTACAACGCCTAGATACAGTTCAATTAATTATGAAAAGAGCAAAACCACATTTTGCAGTTCCAGCACTTTGATGTGCAAGAAAATATCAAATCTAGACAAGGAATCGGGGCTAATATGAACAGAAAATCTTAAAAATCCTTGAAAATATACAAAAAGATGCGATAACCCTAAGAAGTAATTAATATATCTGTTTGTCATTTCAATGCTGATATAAAAAAGCAGCAAAGATTTATTTTCTCTTCTCATAGCTGCCTTTCTTAAAGTATATTTAAATCATCTGTTGCTGTAAAGGGCGGGGTTCTGCAAATATCTAACGAAATGAAATGAGAATGTCTGTTGCAAAGAATACTTTTACAGTTTTCGTGTCCTTTATGTCGTTCATTTGCAGCGGTGAATGGCAAGTTTTCATCGCATTTTATTGTTTTTGTTGTTGTTGTCGTTTTAAGAAAGAGGTAACTGTTTACAAAACACATTGGTACAAGACACAGGGAACTGACAAAAGAATTGTTGGAGAGGTAGAGACGATGCTTATCGCTACTACCAGAAATATTTGACAATCTAAATTTAAGTTAAAATCTAACGAACTACCCATTGTCAAAGCGAGAGATTTGGTGGATAGTGAGCTGTATAATGCTTCTAATTGAAGAATGCGAAATCTTGCAAAGAAAACGACTTTTTAATAAAAAAAAAATACGAAACTTGCATATTGCATACCCTGGGTGGCACTTCCAAGTCCGCTGTGGTGGCGTCTAGTTGCAGGGGAGCAGGCTTGGTTGTCTGTCGCTTTGCCAGTTGTGATTCGTACATACGTTGCTGAATTATTTCTTTTTCTGCCATTACTCTAGCTATATTTATACAAAAAAATCACCAGTTATCGTACTCAATTATTGATTTTGCAAAAGACAAATCCATCAAATAGAATTTCATTTTGATATATCAATCATCAGTGCTAGTTGGGCATATGCACCATATTTCTGCCAATTAGCGCCTCCCAATAATAAGTGTCGCCCCAAAGTTTAAAAGAAATTTAATTAGTGCCTCCTTATTTTAAATAGTTTTTTCGGCTGCACGGCCTTCAAATTTGAGCCACAGCTATAATGTCAAACCAGACATTAAAAGCGCTAATGAAGAGAAGCGATGGAGGAAAATATAGAATGACGTCATTATTGTAGTCTTGGCACTGTATATACCTTCTATAGTTTTTCAGCAAAAATATGTTGCTTCGAATAAACATTCTTTCTCTTTCACACAATTTTCATCTAACGCAGTCCTCTATTTAACGCCTCACTGTTACTCGCAGTTTTTCTAAGTCAGTTGGTTTCTATGTCGCACAGTAGCAACGATAATCTCAGGTACATCTATCACATCCTAAAGGCATTCGGCTGCAGTTAGATAAAGATCGGTCGAAAAACAACCACAGTCACATTTCTTATCATAGGCCATTCATTCATAAACACTTTCTAAAAATTCTTACCATGAGCCTTTTCGGCCTGCTTTCTTCTCTTTCTCCTTCGCAGCTTCCTTTTGCTCCATCGCACCATATAGCTGAACAACGGTATGAGGAGAAGGAAAACCGAGGCCCCGACCACTATCAAAATGTATAGTCTGACATCATCATCCCTGTTTTCTTTTCTGTTGTCTTCGCCAACCCTTGTCACATTAGTTGGTTGTGGTCCATAGTCACCCAGTGAAGGCATATCTATCGTTGGCATCAAAAGCTATGTATTAGAATCTGCCATAGCCATTAATAGGAAAATTTCGTATGGACTAAAAAGCTCTGATCATACAGTTTTAAGAAACAAACCACTGTTACAAAGTGATAAAGTAGATGTGAAGTTGATATGCTTAGCTTACGAAGTCGGTTTTTTGCGGCTTAGTTTATTTGGTGTTTTTAAAAAAGCTCTGTTATGTTAATTGTTTCCCCAGCAAATTTATTGCCAACGTGTTCACTGACTCATCAGCCGGACAAACTTCTCAATATCCTTCAGTGATATTACGCGTTAAAAGAATTTTCTTTAACAGACTGAGAAACTTTTTCCGCGTGAAGCGAACATTTGACATTCGGGTCTTCCGTGTATTTTCGAGTACCTTTACCCATGAATATTAGCAAAAAAAAACGATTCTGTCTTCTCGTATTTCGCCAAACCCACCTGAGGTTAGAATAATAGTTTTTAGATTTGAAACTTTGGATAGCAACAAGATATGCCTCAAAATGAACTATGTTTTTTAATTAATGCAAAACCACGAATTTTTCGAAATATTGTTTTACTTTGTATTGATCGGTTACAATATCACCATTACAATCTATATCAAGCAACAATGGTATAGAGAACTAAATATTAGTAGAAGATCTTTTAGACATCATTTGTGGGAACAAAATTACATATTTATAAACAGTATTTTTGACATTAAAATGCAATCAACTTGCGATGAGGGAATTTTCCGCGTCCAGCATATATTGCATCTAAGCATGAGAAGGATGAGACTCCGTGTGCAAAGTAAGGCAAGATACAAAGTCTAGCCAACCATTACAAAGGCAAGATGTAGAGAAGAAAGTCTTTCTATTGATTCAAGTATGAAGAAAGTATGCAAGTAGTGAGGTTGGCTAGGCTTTTCGGTTAAATTTACCGGGACCTCCTTGCACCTTCTTTCATACCGAATCAAGGCAATTTGGTATTTCTTTTAATCAATAATGCCTTTAGCGTGAAATCAATGTACCAAAGCATGCAAAATATATCGAACATTCCTCATTTTTTATAAAATCAGCCAAAAACTAACACGAAATTCCTCCTAACCCCACTTGTCCAGACACCCGGGCGACATAAAGCAAGAAGACGCCTTTCAGGGTCATGGCTTTACAATCAAGGAAACAAATGCAGAGTTTTGAGTTCGTTGAATACATCCAGTGCAATAAATGTCGCCTTTTGATTTGTTTTATGACTTTGATAATATTTTAATTACACCTTGTTGTTTTTGTTTCGCAATGCTATTCCGGGCAACAAACATGCGGAAATCAAAAACAATTTGTTACAGTAGAAATAACTTTGCGTGCCAAATTTGGGCAGTCAGAAAACCAATGCGCCTCGTTTTGTTATTAATTGCAGCTTTTCATTAGGGATATAATTGATAAAGCGAAAAGTTTAAGCAGAAGTAAACTTTTAATGACTCTTGGTCAACGTTGTTTCATTATTGCCCAACATGTCCCCAGGGGGTTACGCTGGTCCCTCTTTTATTGTGCTGTTGTAATATTATGTTTATTGTGCTGAATCATCCAAAAAATAAGAACACGAGCCTCGACAGAAACTATTTGGTTATTATAAAAAGGTGGTAGAGTGCAAGACTCCTATCCTTAAGTGCAGAGCATGAAGCTTAATCCAAATGCTTTTGGATAAGTTCTTCACAATCTTTGCTTATCGCACGGGTCTCTGGGTACATCTCTGGTTAATTTTGACGATGCAATGGCCACTGACCTACTGCATTTGCCCCTGGACCTATTGCTGAGAAAGAAATCCCCCGAATGTAACGAGCCATAAGCACGTTGGTGGCCGTTGCTAAACCTACTCTGGATACCAGAACCTTTTTGGAGTCGAGGCTAACTGCAGAGGGAGAAAATAGAACAGAAGAAATTCACGAGTCGACTCCTTAGACCTGGACATGCGGAACCGTTCAATGCTGTTTAAAATGTATTTCAACAAATTCTACTTGTTGTAACATAATATTTTCTATGAATTCTAACCTTTAAAAGGTCTTCCTTTAACAGTCATGAAAAACTTTGAATTGACCCCAGCCTTTCAGAATGGTATTTTGATACAGAATATCGAAGATTAGAAAAAGCCATCCAGCCCTTAAATTCATAATTCAAGCTACCCCTATTTTTATCATCCAATTTCTTTGAAAATTACACTGTGTACATTAATGCAGAGATGTAAACTCATTTAAAATTCGTTGTCAGTTAGAGATCTGCCTTGCCTTTAATTCAAATATTCAGGATACCAACCTCAGCCTGCAAGTTTGTAAACACTCAAATTTTGTCAAATCGAGCAGATCTTCCTCTTTCCACTTCCAATCAGGCGTTTTTGTCAACTGCCGTTTCTTTTCAAACTTTGCAAAAATCTCCAATTAAATTCCGCTCTGCAGACATACCTCAATCATGAGAGTTTTTTCGATGCTTGATCTAAAGCCAGATTCCCTAATTACAGGCGATGTAATACGAGTTTCAATTGCCATCAGACTTTTCCTCGTTGCAAATCAAACAATAAATATAACAACGACGCGAATCATCCAATTTCGGCCATTAATTGCGCAGTTATAACTTCAGGAGATATTTGATTACATTCTTTGTATTTTCATCCAATGCGAATATGCCATCGTAACCACTGCCTTCGTTAATGAGCAAAGTAAAACCATTTTCCAATGAATGCAAAACCATAATTACGTACCAATACCCTCGACCACGCTGCGACAGCTATGACGAATACCACACAGCGGCCCGTTATTAAAAGAAACTCGAAACTGCACGAAAATTATCTCATTAAAAGCGTTTCTCCAGCTCATGAAAAGCGTCATTACCAGTGTACCACGATTTGCATGCTACGGTAATTGACCAAAAGGATCTAAATTCGGCCATGCGTTTATCATAGGTCCTGTGAGGTTTACGTCACCCGTTCTAAATCCCTTTGCCAGGATGATTTAATGCGCTAAACTAAAATCGTTTCATTGCAAGTTTGGACTGGCCACGTTTCGCAGATATGGCTGGACAACCGATTATATTGCCAATGATCAAATTCGTTAATATTGCCGATCGTTTCCAATGGTCAGCCATGGCGGTCCACGAATTTTTAAAAAAAAAACAATTTTGAGGAAGAGATACCATTAATCTAGCTTTACTGTGATTTATTATCTGTATTGTCGTATTAAGTGAGAGAACAATCCACCAAAATTTTGAGAGTACTTTCTTTAAGAATTTTTATATTCCATGTTTGTAACGAAAATTTCGTCGAGGAAAGCTTTGATTCAGCTTATTAATTTTCCTTCCTCTTTGCATTATCAACTCCTAAATTAACATTGATAAACATGTAGCTACGTTTTATTGCCAATATAGTTGAACAATTGCTTGATGATATTTTTAACCAATGCGGTAATCTTTAAATTTCCAGAATATTCAGTTTCAAAAAGGTCTTTCCAGTGACCATGAGTAACATTTCTATAAAGAGTGAAACGAAGGTTTGCCAACTGATTGTGACGTAGGCCCGGAAAACTTGTAGATGGTGAGCCCAACCACTTCCTAGCAAAATATGTAGCAAGTGAGATATTATGAGGCCCCTCCCAAAATTGGCTACCCCTATACAAATATAGCAAATAAGAAACATCGCAATACGCCGATAATAAACAACAATAAATACACGTAAATCAGTGACACGTAAACAAACATCATATTAAGTGAAATTTTTATTAATAATTATTTCAATATATCATATTCAACCCAAAGATGAAATTTTAAAGAATATGGATAGGAGAAAAAGGTGAGATTTTAAAACAACTTATCAACATGTGTTGTTTTTCTTTTTAGTTCATGCAAATTGTTCTCTAAATCCGTGCATTTTTAATCAAAAGTTGCAATAAATTTGAAGTGCTTCTCAGTGGACGGAACAATTCCATCTTCGTCTTCCTGGCGCTATCCAGCTTTCAAACACTGAAATGATAAAAAACGTAAACAGTTCAAAATGTGATTTACTGATTTTATTTACAACCAATTAGTAATTCATATCTGTAAGCATTTATTATCCACAGTAAGTTTATCAGTATGGTATTGTGCTCTTATCTTTGCTGTGATAAAAATGTACGACCAAATTCGAAGCTTTTTTGTCAAAGATTTATGCCACACAGTTCTTTGTGTTTTATGTATGCAACAAAGATTTTTTTGCAAGAAATCATGCAAATGTTCACTCACCTAGTTTTGACTGAAACTTTCCTCTTTTTTGCCTTGAGAAAGGAAGGCAATTTTTCAATGATTAGATAAGGAAAGAATAATGCAACAAATAGTCAGCAGAAATAGAAAGGACAGTGACAAAATATAAATCAGTAGCATCTTCCTTATTATCAGCATCATCAACATCATTACTTGATTTGAAATAGGATAATACAAGCTAACTGACGCACTTTGCGACTGGCTACTCCTAACAAATTAATGCTTCTACAACTAAATATATATCTAAATATATAAAAAGAGCTTCAGTTCATGTTGTCAGCACTTTGTCAGCAGATTTTGTCACTTTTCTGCTGCCATGACAACAGTCAATCAATTTCATTGTCAATCAATCGGCTTTGTCGAGGAGGTCGTTAACCGCCACCTCTTTCTGCGGAAGGCAATTATCTTCGGAGCGTTGCTTTGCCAAGACTCTGCTAAAGGCCTTCGGTTTTTTTGGCACGAAAACGGTGCTGCATCACAGCTCGGTTCTCCGCAATGGATGGAAGTTTTGATTCGAAGTTTTGGGAATCAAAACCAGTCGAATGCCACACCATTCTCCCAAAAACTCGAGACCATACGAGCAAAAGTTACGATTGTCATGATTATAGCCTGTACATCGCTGTACGCAGGGGCGGACTGGCTGGTCGGGCTATTCGGGCGATCGCCCGAAGGGCCGGTCAGTTTAAGGGCCGGTCAATAAAAATGCAAAAAAATAAATTGGTTTAAAAAGTGAATGCGAGGAGAAAAAAATATACCCACGCGTTGATCTGTTTGACTTGAATTTTCAGAGACTTTGTGGGAAAGAATAAATATACACGCGAGTACTTCAAAACCATCAAAATTGTGAATTCATTATTGTCATGCTGTTTTATCCAGATGATGGATAAAACATATTGGATACGTTGGATAAAACAGCATGTTTCTTCCAACATAAAAAAACTGCCCCTCGTCTTCCAACATAAGAAAGAGAACAGCCTATTTCGATCCACAACTGGGTATATATTTTTCATCGTGTTCTTTCGGACCCTGATTCTGATGTTTTATGCTCTGAGGAGTGTCAGACGAAAAAGCTTTTAGTATGTCGTAAAATGTTTGCTTTTTTCAAAGTCATTAACCATGTTCTGCTAGCCATGTTCTGTTAACCATGTTCTGTTAACCATGTTCTGCTAACCATGTTCTGTCAACCATGTTCTGTTAACCATGTTCTGTTAACCATGTTCTGTTAACCATTTTCTGTTAACCATGTTCTGTTAACCATATTCTGTTAACCATTCATCCATGCACAAAATTACTGAATTTAAAAACTTCTTTTCCGTACAGACTAATATTTACTAGAATTTTCCGAGGAATTTTTTATTTGCTATTATTATGGGCCGGTTTGATCAAAATGTGCCCGGGCCAAAAAAATTAGCCAGTCCGCCTCTGGCTGTACGAATCCTTTATCGCAATCGATTTTAGCTGTACCCGTTCTATCACGTGTCCATTTTCATACGTCTTTGTTTACTTCACGAAAACGAAAAATAAATGTCAAACCCTCGAAAAACTTCATGATTTTCAAAAGGGCGTTGGACTTAAATCAAAAGCAAACGGAACACCAAAAATTCTTGATAAAAAGAATAGTTTAGCATCAACTAAAGCAGCTGTTTTTATAAAATTGTGAAAACCCAAGATGGTGTCTTCTCCGAATGTCCTGACCTAAATTTTCAAAACAATCATTATCAAGGAACTAATTGTTTGCGGGCAGTACTAGCAAGAGCTATTTCTAGTATTTATATTTATATAGGTATTCAAAAGCTCTAGACTGTTGTGTGTCCATGCGTGCCATCCTTCGGTCTTCTGTGTATAGTTAGGCACAGCTATAGGAACTAAGTTCGCTTCAGCTTATGCAAACCTCTTTATGACTGGGTTGGAAGAAAAATTGTTGAAGGAGTCAGTGGACACACCCATGGTCTGGATGAGATTCATCGATGATGTTTTCTTTATCTGCACTCATGGCGAAGGGAAGTTTGAGGCCTTCATCAACTTTCTTAACAGTAACATTAGCACATATATCCCCTACGAAGCCCGCTACGCGCGCTTGCCAGTGACCCTACGGTAGGGTACATAGATTAGCCTCGGAAAAGACAAGAATTTTCTTAACGGCCTACAAGCAACAGCGAAAAACAACAAAAAACGTCAATATTTTGGTCAGCATGAAAGCAGCAGGCAAAAAGTATCTTTGTGGCATATATGAAATACCGCAATACGCCGAGAATAAACAACAATAAAAACACGTAAATCAGTAAAGGCTAATATTTGGCCCCGGCATACTTGGCTTCATCAGAGCAAAAGTTGTGCTGATGAACTAGGAGCCCGTCGAGCAGCCTGCTACAGTGGCCTTTCCTTCATTCACACAAAAAGTATCTTACCGTGGTTATAGAGAAAGGACACATCAGCAGGCGTTAGGAGGTTATACCAAGCGGCAAATCTGTCAATGTAGGCTTCAAAATCTCCAGCTCCTTGGTACCCAAAATCGACATGGCTGTGATAGCTGGCGGCCGTTGTAACGCTTGTGACAGCCTGCAATATGGTAAGTTTGATAAAAATTTGCAAGTTTTTCTAAATGTTTTATGGGATGTCTTTTTAGAAAAGCCATTGAAATCTCTACAATCTACCTTTACAAGACAGTTGGCAGACTGTGCGGCGTGGGAGGGGGGGGGTGTTGTTTGGGTAGCAGAAGTAATTGCTTTATTTAACTGATGTCAAGTGCGTTTTTCACCCTGTTTATATCTTTTACGTTTTCTCAGATAATTCTTCCCGTTAAGCCTACTCGATTATGTTGGACATTGAAGTTAATTTTTTGGGCATAGCTTATAATGTATTAAAAATTGAGCACACATGAAAATGGAATTGACTCCAATGTCATCGAAAAGATAGCCAATGAAATCAGAGATAGTTAATTGTGAGTTGGCAAGTATAGTGACGAAGATCCAGCAGCACCAAGACCAGTAAATGTGGACAGAGAGAGACCAGTAAATGTGGACAGAGAGGACGATATTCGAAGGACTTCATCCCGACAATAAATGGCAAATATTATCACAATCAATGAATAAATAAAGAAATCAATCAATTACTACAATCAAGGAATCACATCAATCAATCTATCAATCAACAAATTTTTACAGCCAATCAGCTAATCACAAAAAGCACGCAAATTTTTAATCTCTTGCGGTGCTCCAAAATATTTTTTAAATGCCTTCGTAAGTCTTGCTGTTGTGTACATGTATAAAAAGACATGCAATGACAGGATTTACGTTATACTTTGACAAAAAACTTTGTTTCCGATATAAAACTTGCAAGCTTTCCTAATCCGCAAATGCAGCTAAAAGAGGAAAAATTTGGATACATATTTAAGCTGACGTACCGCTTGTTTAACCGCAACGCCATCGATGTAAATGATAAGGCCAGACACATAGCTGTACGTGAACATAAAATGGGTCCAGGTCTGCAAACTCGGATCGGTGCCATTACCCCAAGTGGCTATGCATCTTGATGTTTGATCTCGGACAGTTACCGTAGCTGCGTTTGAGGTGCAGCCATTGAGCAACACTTCAAACCCGGAATAAGAACTTATGCTGCGAGTTGATGCTGCAAGGGTAATTTTATGCGCTGTGGAGCATACACTTTGGACAACCTTTTCTTGGCCTCTTTTTGACAATTTGAACCAAAACGAAACTGATAGGCCATTGTTTGGTGACGATCTGCATGCCAATGTATATCTGAACGAAAAAAAATTACAATCAGCTATTTTAGAATCGATTTGAAAATAAATACCCCAGTATATTGTTATCAATATAAATAAAATAATCGACCTTACCTATGGATTTCCCAGTGTTCTCACTTGGAAGGAAATTTCTTATCAAAATAAATTTGAGCATTTGTAAGGAAAAAGACAAAATCGAAGCCACTAAAGAAACGGCAAGGCAGATTGAATTCTACAATAGCCAAGTGCAGAGAAAATTTCCATGTGATGTAAAGTCCTCCAAACTAGTCGATAATTTTTTGTTGTGCTGGTTTTGCTATGGATGAATTTGGAAAAGTAGTAACTGCACTCGTGAAGAACTCGGGAAAAAATTGCCTCTTATACAATATAAAATGCGAGTTCACTGGCCTCGATAAACTCCAACCTAACCAGAGGGGGGGGGGGGGGAATAAGCCTAAAGTAATGAACACAATTTTTTTAATTCATTTATTTGATGTAGACCGGCTGGATGGCCGGATGGACGTAGACTAAAATGCGGTGAATTCCACAAGTAGCAAACAGCAAACAAAATATACAACAGCAAACAAAAACTGCAAACATATCAAGCACTTTTTTAGAATCTTATCAAATTACATGCTTTCTAACAACGTATAAGCTATTTTTCATTGCTTTAATTATGAATATAAATATCTCAAGTTACGCGGATATATTCCACATGGTCCCAATCATTGAAATTCAGCTTAATTCCCTCTTTGCTTTTCCGCATTGCTTTTGAGAAAGTTTATGTGTACAGTGTGAAACTTGCAGTTGGCGGATTTTACTTCCTTGCTTTAATGATTTAAGGTAACTTACTGACAAAAATTGAAAATTTTCGTAAAATTTTTGAAAAAACTTATATCTTCCTTTCAGTTTTTCAACATACTCTGATCAATCATATTCTTAGAAATTGCAGTTTTATGTCGAGTGGTTCCTTCTTAGCAACAACATAGCAGCCCCAAAAACTGTTCATTTTCTCAACAAACCATCCAAAGGCCAATTAACATTGACTTTCCAGCAATGTTCTGAAAATGGAAAGGAGCGGGTAAATTTTGAAAGATTTCGAACAATAGCCTTAGAAGTTGGTAATTGAGTAAACTCAGGGCCCCGCACCCAGTGGCTTGAGGCACGTACCCCACCAGCAAGCAGGAATCACGGGGTCCGACGGTGATCCAACTCTTCAAAGGGGCGCCAAAATCACGCGAGAAAACCAGCGCCGTCGCGAGGCAAGCCTAGTTGGGGGGGGGGTGGACTACAAATTTACCTGATTAACAAATTATTCCCTGAAATTCTTTAGCTGCAGTCACAAGCTTCTGCAATACATTTTGTGAATCTAACTCTGTATATAATTCGCAACTTTTATTTTTATATGATAATAACGGACTTTCCCAATAGTTTTGTCCAATCTGCATATCGGGACGGGCAAAGGACATAGTACCCTGGGTACCAGACTCACTATATAAAATAATAGAGAGTCTGGTCTAGTGCGCCCCATTCTCGTTCGGGTGAACTTACTTGAAAGAACTGAAGTCTATTCAACAGACTAGGCCTGTGAAACAAGACTGTCGGATAAATAACAAAGATACTCAGTAGTCGGAGGAGTTTTGGGAAATCTTAAAGCCAATGTATTTTATATAGTTCTGTAAAGTTGACATTATTAATACAGTGATAACAGACTTTTCTGCCTCAAGATTCCAATCAAATCAGGTGTAAAACGCCTTGGCAGCAAAAAGCATATGCGAAGCATGAAATTAAAGTTAGCACAATGCAGTTACTAAATGTTAATCATTGTTAAATTTAGCATACAACTTAAAATAAGACTTTTGTAATTTTCCACATAAATTAAGTGTACTTTCAGTCTACTTCCTCACTGTGAAGGCAGCGCGCTTGGACACCGCGGCGGTTAGAATCATCACGTTGGAAGTTTGCCACAGCAAATATGGCCAATATGACAAGCGAAGCCCCGTATGCCGGGGAAAATATTAGCCATAACTGATTTACTTGTGTTTGTTGTTGTTTGTTCTCGGCGCCTTGCGGTGTTTCTTATTTACTGCATTTCACTACAAGGCCTAATTTCTTTGCAATGAGAGGCACTGCCTGAAATATCAGAGACTTTCCAAAGTCAGTTGGCAATATGGCGAAGGTGTCTCTTCTCTCTACAAACAAGGCTTTCAATGTTGTTCTGTGTTAAGTTCCACAACATGCGGAAAATATTCTTTGAGTACAGTTTTAACAGCATCTTCAAACTAAATCGTTCCAGTCGCTAGCATTTATTTATGTTGTGTTCTGTTCAATGTTTTACACCAGAGCTAAGTTTATTGTTTCGCTGTGACCTTTGAACGTACAGAAATCTGTACACTCGCTCCTGATTGGTTAATATAAGCACACCAGAACGAGAATGGGGCGCACTAGACCAGACTCTCTATTTTATTTCATATATAGTGAGTCTGGTACCCAGGGTAAGGACATAGTTACTACCTGAGGCGGCACTATGGTTCCAGTTCCTGGCTTTGAAAAAAGCAAACATTTAGTAAACTAAAGCTTTTTGTCTGACACTCTTCAGAGTTTAAAACGTCAGAACATAGATCGAAAACTCTACACTAAGAAATATATATACCCAGTTGTGGATCGAAATAGGCCAATCAGAAACACGAGCACATGACTGTAAAGGTTGACCAATCAGTGCCGCTTGCCTATTAGAATGTTACCAGTGGAGTCCTAAGGTGAAAACGAACTCCTTTTGTCTACACAGTAGCGGTTTTTTCGTGCTTATGTAGATATCTCTCTCATTCCCTCCAATTTTTTCTTTTTTCCCTTTCTTTAAAGAGAGAGACTTGTAGCAAGTCCAAAAGCTAGGTAACAAGCAGCACTGGTTAACGATTTAAATCTCTCTTTCCATCTTAGCATGCCTTTTGAATGTTGAAAAAATCTGGAGCTCATAGTGAATTGCAGTTGACGCATCTACCGAGGAACTTCAGGGGGAATGGACACAAGGCACAATTTTACCTAAATGGACACAAGGCGATTTTGTTCCAATGCCAGACAGAGCTATGTAAATCACAACTAGTAAACATAACACTGCCAATAAAAGAAGTCAGCACGCCACCTCACTCGGAAAGCTGCTTGTACACATTGCATAAGAATCAAAAGACCCTCTTAAAGCCCCCACTGTCTTCCGTTCGGTATCGTTCCATTCGAAAATTTGGAACGCTATAGAGTTCTAAAGTGATGACGTCACAAAAATATATTTTTAGAATTTTTGAATTTGGCTCCCATAGCCTGAAAGAGCACCATAAAATACCTCTAAATTTACAAAATCAGTCAAATGTGTTACGAGTTGGCTGAGATATTGCCACATGTGCATTGGCTCTTTCCCCATCAAACCTCTCTATTTTGGTCTCTGTTCATGACTTTATGAACAGAGCGAAAATAACAGTGATTCGTTAGCAAATTTCAAATTTTTCATTGGTAATATCTCAACTGATTTTGGACATACTTGACTAATTTTGCAGATCTGGAATTATTTTATGGTGATCTTTTATGCTATGTGGTTAAAATTCAAAAATTCTAAAAATAGGTTTTTGGTGACGTCACACTTTAGAACTCTATTGGAACTGTACGCGATTGTTTCCATTTTATGAGAAGCTAAACAGAGACCCCAGGGGATACCCTCCCCTCTCTGGGGTTGGTCCTCAAATAGTTATTGTGGGACACTTGGCACTTTCATCGAATGGTGCGTTGCGATTTCCCTTTCTGTTTTGACGTAACAATCGTATCATAACTGTAAAAAGCTAAAAATTTCTTGAGTTTTTCGATGAACCTATACCTAAAGGAATTTACTAGTATTTGTTTGATGCAAGTAGCCGTGTAATGTATCAAGTATTATTCTTTTTTATTGCAATGATCAAATAAAACCGCATAATTTCTCTAAGATATTATTGAAAATGGTCTTGTGAAAATCAGTTAATTCCAGAAACTGTATAATATGAATTGGAGAACTCAAATTTTCTGGCTGAAAAACATTCCTTAGACAGGAAAGGGGTGTAACAGAGCTACAAATTTCTCATCAATTGATGTTTTGTTGAATAGGTGGTTTGCCTGTCAACCTTGTAACATTTATGGAAATAACGTTTTCAATGAATAGTATTGTTTATACTCATACCGAAGAAATAGCACGACACGAAAAGATCTTTTCACGACCTATCCTGCCCATGATACCTCTTTGTGTATTTCTCGCAATCATTTCCAGGCCTTGGACCCTTGTGGAGCAGCTATTCATTTAGTCGTTAACCCAAACATGACATGAAATCCTCTTAAAACAATATTTTCACTTACAGTAGACAGTGAAAAATCTAAAAGACTCTTTTTGCAATAATGCAGAATACAATTTTGTTTTTACTCACCCATGGCAAACAGAACTGTAACCTGAAAAGCTCCCATACGATCCTGACTTGCCTGGCAGATACAGAACAGGAGACTTCCGGTCTGGAACAGACAAAATTTTGATGTCTCCGCTTTTGCTGAAAGTTTTGCTAGTTATCCTGTCTATTGGAGCTTGGCTGTCGAATTTGTAATAAACCTGAGCAGTTTTTTCAGCAACTGGAATAAAAGCATGTTGTTGAATAAATACATTTTAAGGATGCTATGTTCCTCACAAAATCAACTGCGTCCACTCTAACAGAGGCGGATCCAGACCAAACTTGAAGAAGAGGCAGTTGGTGGAGGGGACGCTGAAAAATTTTAACAAATTGGTGACGATAGTAAGCTGTATACAATAATTTCAGACATATTTTCGGAATAAACAACATAACTTTGAGGAAATCCTTGAAGCAAATTAACCTATCGATCGCAGAAACTTTTTCACCTGATTCTTATTTTTCGAAAAGGGCGCACAATTTCCGAAAAAACGGCGCCTTGCTGAAACTAGTCGAGGGAGGGGCAACTGCCCCTTGTTGCCCCCTTTAAATCCGCCACTGCACTCTTAAAGCTGAAAGTTTGCAATTTACTCATCCCTACGTAGCCCTAACCTTTCAACGATGCTGTCCCTACATCGATGCTGCAAATTCCATTATAATTAGGCTGCCCCTATTTGCTCTTACCTTCTTCCATCTTCCTTTAACCCTCATAAAGAAGGTGCAAGGCTTACAAGCAAAAAACATCTATGCTTACGATAGCTTATGACGAAAGATAGTTTTGAGAATTATTTTACTGCCATGAAAGAACGAGCGATATTAGTGAAGATTCAACGCCTCTAGGAGACAATTCACTTTACAATGATTTCTAAATTAGCATGAATATGATCTCAAACTGGCTACCACCTTGGTCAGTGTTAAGTGATGAACTGAAGGGATTAAGGGTTAAGAACATGTTTCAGGTGTTAGCTTTCGACTCAAACCAGATTAAAAAAACATTTAAGAACTGGAATTAGAATCATAGAACAAAGAAAAAATTTCAGATCTTTTAGTAGAACAGAACTAATTGATTATTATCGATAGAACGGACTCGGACCCGCTGAACCCCGCTTCTCTTTTCCAAAGAAATACAGTAGTTTACCTTTAAGCGTTTCACAGTGGGTGCCGTGTATTGTAGTTGTAAAGTTACTGTCCTTGCATGCACACTTGTAAGAGGCTTCCTGGTCCAACGAGATGCATGTTGCTCCATTCTTGCATGGATTAGATGCGCAAGCACTCTAAAATTAACAAAAGGTGACTATTTAACAATTTGGCATATAAAAAGTATTTTTTGTGCACTTTGTCGCTTTCCAATTTAAAGAGGTTCATCTTGCTATTGCGGAGTATTACGTTCCAGTGATAGAGGCGATGCATTTCCAATGAACATAGTTTTAGCTACATATAATGACAAGGCAATAGTTGGGCAAAGCATTGTGAGATACGTAATATTGTCTCATGTTTTCAAGCTCTAATTCTTTCTTGTTAGTGGGAGCTATTTCATTTTTGAAGATCAGCAGGCCCGCCCAGGGGCGTTACTTGGTAGGGGAATGGGGGGGGGGGTGGTTCAAAAAATAGGACCTTTTCACAGGGCAAAACTGATTTTTGCAGGGCAAATGCTTTCTACCAACTGATCTGTTTTGTTGTTTCTCTTATGTAACTGTAACAAGAAAGTAGGTTATGCTTGTAATGTGTCTACTCCAAAAGTAAAATGATACAGACTACCAGTGACACGAAGTAGAAATTGCAAGAGTGGTCTTGGGCTGGATAGAAGAGATTTCTAAATTGATTCTGATTTCTTTTCACCTTAAGTGTTACACCCATTTCTATTGTTACATCCTTGGTTGATATCTGTGTCTTATTTAAAAACCATACTAAAAAGACAAGCACCGCTTGCCAGAAAACTAAGACACTGTAAACGGGGCTATTTGGGTCAAACTTTGATGGAATTGTTTTACATATTTGGGTCTAAATTTGCTTTGACTATAACGAGAAGCGTGACTTTAAGAAGGGAGTTGACTAAATTCGGTTTTTATATCAATTTTTTGTGGATGATACAGGGTGTATTGTATAAACTCCTGTATGTTTTCAAGCTTGTGTTTGCCAGATGAAGATTATGTAATCGGTAAATCTTTTGCAGAATATTTGACTACGCCCCATCGAGGCATTGCTCAAGATATGTTGTTCTATTGTCGTCATAAATATGTTGGCATAATTTATGCTCGTCTCCCCAAGGCTAGGCAAACACATCGGTGAACTTGTGGACACACTGAGCAAGGACCTAAGCGGTAACAACTTACCTTAAGAAGTATTTTATTGTTACGGGAACTGAGGGCCAGTTCCCAACATTTCCAACTTTTGCCAGGGAAAATTTTTTTCTGCAGGGCAAATTTGCAGCCACCCCTCCCCCCAACATAAAGTATGAAGTAACGCCCCTGGGCCCGCCGTGATATGTTCTGGGGCCTAGGGCAAAAAGAAAGATGGGCCCTGTGATGTAATCATTAAAACTGTGATTGTAATTTTTATTGTCAATTTTAGGTATATTTTTATCTTTTTGGCCCCCTCAGCTTAGTGCCTTGGGCAATCTGCCTTCTGTTGTTCTTCAGAACCCTCTTTTGATAACGATCTTCGGCATTGCCGAAAAGCTTTTGTCCTTCTATATAGTAATGGCCTAGTTAGATACACTACCATGACGAAGAAATGCGTCGAATTCTTCCTTTCTTGAAGCAAAGACGCATTGGACCACCGGTTTCCGTCAATCAAATCACATATCATGTCACTAGCATTGACTGGAAGGTGGTGGTTGGCTGACTTGCACTGGGGGATCCTCACGCACTCTTGTATACAGCTTTGGTTGGAAACGGCTGGGAAACTCTTGATCACGTGATTTGTACTGTTCAAGTAGAAGCCCGCCATGGCGTCAAAGGATCTGTATTTTATCTCTGCAGTGTGGCAGTAATACCTGTTAGGACATTCATTAGCAGCTGCTAAGAAAGTACCAAGCAGAGCGACAAGGACCAATCCTATATGTAAATTCATCTGTAAAAAAGATGATTTAGCTTGTAAATAAAGGCTTTTTGATTGCAATGTTTGCTAATATTTTTTATCTAAATAGACAAAAGAACAGAGAAAAGTTGGTCGAGAAAACGTCAACAGACATGATAACTTTCTTGAAATAAATGGACGAAAGTGAAATTCACAGAAATTTACAATGTTGGTTGAAAGTTTATAAAAAATAGGGTATGACAAAATTCTGACCTCCTGCCAATGGATTGCCGCTCAAAGGATTTTCATTTTTAGTGTAAATGTGTAAGAGGGTAGAGGTTGGAATAACCTCCAATTTTCAAAAAGTCTACGCCAGTTGAATATTAAGTTAGTGTCATATACCCTTCGATATGGTTCATGAAAGTAGATTTGCGCCTAAATAATTTTCAGCCTAAATATTTTGCTGCCGGCAGGATATTTTTCAGCTAGTGAAGGTTTGGTTTTCGGTAGAAATTTACCTCCGATGTCATCATCCACGCTAGGCTAGCTCCAATGTCAACATCTACGCTAGGTACAGTTATGTATCTAAGATGCGCTTGTTCCTATGATGCACTAAAAATGATACTTTCTGTGCCTCAATCAGGGCACCAATAGAAGCCAAAGTTACAGGCGCATATCAAGCACAAGGAATACAGCAAGTATGTTTTAAGAGGCCACATTTTAATCACTGCTTCATGGAGCAAATTTAATCCAGCTGATAAACAAGTGGTAAGCTGAGTGCTACTTAACTCTGGTAAACTGAGTGCTATTTTTCAAGTTAGGCTAAATGATATCATTTTGATTTGATTTGATTCTTGCTTTTTGGCTAAAACTCAGTAAGTTTAAGTAAATGTCTAATTTTGTCAAAGTCAGGGAGTGGAGTTTTCTCAATCGGTTGGAACAAGCATTGTGACGTCACTAAGTCTAGAAATAATGTGCTGACGCTTGTCTTGGTTTTTTGTTTTCTTTAACAAATCATATCACCCTGAAGCTTAAATTGAAAACGAAGGAAGAATTTAAAATAAATTGTGCAGGTGATGTACATGATTTCTGCAGAGTCTGACAATTGTATTTACAAAAGATGGCCACATCTCGCACTGGCAGATAATATTGCAGCAATCCAATAAAATATTTGCACATAAGGCAATACCAATTAACTAAAAAAAAGATCTTGTTTGAATAAAACAGTATTTCAGCATAATTAGAGACAAAATCTCTTGCTGCATGATTCTATACGATATTTAGAATACCACTGATAAAATATGCAATGTTGCAATAGCCAAGGACAAAGAAGGCGTACTTGGTGTATAGCCAAAGCAATGTATGACTTACCGTCGCGTTCAGCAATCACCTCACTTCTTGCTTTCACACTGGATTCCAAAGTTTGTCAAAGTGCGTAGACTGATGTCAATTTGGCATGTCAAACAATTTTTGTTATCGTTTTTGGTTGCAAACTAATAAATGTTACCCATGGTAACAGGCCGACTCTTTAGTAACCCGTCATCATGTCACCAGTATGCATTCATTCTTAATGTTTTCAAGTGAATGGCAAACCTGCTGATACGGGTACTTTTTAATGATTGGCAAAACGCAGAATTTTGCATTGACAAATTGATTGATGTTTTCTTTACGTAAATATTTTGGCAAATGTGATTCATATAGCTATTCACATTTGAAGAAGAGAACAAAACCACATCGTAGTCTGCCAATATGCCAAGCGCCTAATAAACCCTGGCTGTACAAGCTTGAAGCGAACTTAACCTTAGAAACCAGTTTTTTGGTAGTGCAGGTTTATTTGTTAGCTGGTTGATGGTAAAATTGTTGGTGAAATTTCATGAAGAAACTACTTGATAGAGAGCCAGAAATTTGCAAGATGATTTAGCTAGTACTGTCAATCAGAGACATGCACTGTGACTAGGATTTTTATGATGTTACTTAATGCTAATGTTAGTGACAAGGATGGTGATGACAATTTTTCATTCGTCACCATCATCGTAAGCTTCATCGCCAATTTTTACCAAAACTCATTTCATTTGCATTATTCTGACAATAATTTTTATCATCTTGGAATAAATCAAATATGGCTTGATAGCGGATCCAGCTGTACTGTGGTATATGATCTGTGCTGTTATTTTTCATGAAAGTAAAATTCAGAAATATTTTGAGGGTAGTTTTTGTTAATCGTTGATAATTATTGAAGCCCTGGTTACTTTAACAATAGACAATATAGTTTATAACGAAAGTTTCCTTCAGAAAAAGCCTTCATCTAGCTGATAATATTCTTTTTTTCTTTGCATAATAAAGAGTAAAATGAAAATAAATCAATTTGTAGCATAGGTGTAATGCCACAGTTGAGCAGCTGTTGGAAAAATCTTTATACCAATGTCATAATGTTTTCACTATCTTAGGATTTAAATGTTTAAATGTTAAAAATCAATTTAAAAAAAGTCGTATCTAAATTTTGTTAAAGTGGCCTCGATTTCCACTTTCATCAAGAAAGACAGGAAGGTTATTTTTAAGAAGTCCCAGAAATTTAATAGAGGGTGAGGTGCCTGATGAAGTGCCTAGCATGTGAGATATTAGAATGCCTTATCCTAAGATTGGCTAAGAGAGAATCTTTCCAAAATGCTTGGCAATTGCTCTACCTCTAGAGTTGTACGCCAGTGTTAATGGTTTATCCCGTTTTGATGTTATCTCGTATAGGAGCGTTATAAAAAAGGATGTAAGCGACAATAACAAAATGCCTTGCTACTT